GAGGTGGTCTTTGAGAGTGGTGAAGGCCGTCTGGCAGGCCCCCGTCCACTGATAGGGGTGCTTAGGGGAGGTGAGTTGGGTGAGGGGGCGTGCAATCTCGCTGAATCCCTTTACAAATCGACGATAATAGGTGGCGAGCCCCAAAAATGATCTGATCTCCGTCAGATTCCTTGGCCGTGGCCACTCCACTACGGCGCGTACCTTCTCCGGATCGGTGTGCACGCCTGCCTCGCTGACGCGATGCCCAAGGTACCCCACCTCGCGTTGTGCGATGTAACACTTACGTGGCTTGAGCTTGAGATGAGCCGCTCGCAGTCGCTGGAACACCTCTCGAAGCCTGGACCAATGCTCAGACAAAGATCTACTGAACACTATCACATCGTCCAAGTAAATCAGGCACTGTTCCCACTGCAAGCCCCGCATCACCAACTCCATCAACCGCTGGAACGTCGCGGGCGCGTTAGTGAGTCCGAACGGCAACACTCGAAACTCAAACAGGCCCATCGGGGTGGTGAATGCTGTTTTTGGCCGATCCTCCTCCGTCATCTCCACCTGCCAGTAACCGGACGCCAGATCGAGGGTGGAAAAATACCGCGCTCCTGCGAGACTGTCGAAGGTGTCGTCGATGCGGGGTATGGGGAAGGCATCGCCGAGCGTGACTGCATTTAGTTTACGGTAATCGACGCAGAACCGGGTTGACCCATCCTTTTTCGTTACTAGTACCACCGGGGCTGACCAGGGGCTCGCCGAGGGCTGAATTATGTTATCGCGAAGCATGTCCCCAACTGCCTCTTTGATTTGGGCGCGTTCGGGTGCGCCCACTCGGTACGCAGGGAGTTTGATGGGTCGGGCTGCACCGGTGTCAATTTGGTGCTTAACAAGATCGGTCCGACCCACGTCCGAGTCGTGTTCACTGAATACGTCGGCATACTCCCGCAGTAACTCGCGCAGCCGATCGGCCTCTCCCTTAGGTAAATCCGCCCATGGTACATGTAACGCGTCGAGCAGGGGAACGACCTCGGCTCGGGGAGTCGGGCCGACTCGCCAGGCCAGGTCCTGGTCACCCTCAGGACGCCCGGGGTCCTCAGCCCAGAGTGCGAACACCGAGTCGTTAGAGTGGCGTGCGTGCAGGGGGTGTACGGTGGCTATCGGGGTGCGCCGTCGCAGTATCGCTGGGGTATTGTGGGGGTTAAACATCCGCATAAACAATCGGTCCCCATCTGCGTTTACCAATGTGGCGGATCCCACTATCCCATACCGTTTTGCCAACTCCGGGTGAGGAGTTAGCATTACCTCTCCTGATGGTCGGAGCGCGGGGTCGGTGGGGGATGTTGCCACTGGCACCAGCATCTCGGTGAGCGGTCCGATGGTGACGGCCGACACCAGCGTAGCGGCCACGGGTGTGAAGCGTGGGCGATTCGGCTCCCGTCCTAGGAACGGAATCCGCTCCCCGCTGCCCTCCACCGTAGCGCATCGTTGCCGGGGCTGTACGTTAAGTCCCAACTTTTCCAGGAGGTCCGTTCCTGCAATGCACTCGTGGCACAACACACTCGACACGTAGAATTCCTGTGTGCACACCTGGTTTCCTAGACGGACCTCGAGGGAGACCTTCCCCAGCAACCCCATCCCGGCTCCGCTTGCCGTGTGCAGCGCGCGGTCCGGGGCCTGCAGGTGGCGCACGTCGACCCCGATCGCGCTGCAGTGCGCTGCACTCACGAGCGAGGCCACCGCCCCCGTGTCCAGCAGAATTCGGGTACGCACTCTGTTTACCTCCCCTTCCACCAGCGACGTGGCCCCCGTGATCCCCGCCACCAGCTCCCGTAGCCAGTCGCCAGGAGTCACCGTTTCTGTGGGCGTTGTTGCTGGAACCTGTGTGGAGATCACTCGCTCGCAATTATTCTCACAGCTTGTTTGTGTCGGGGCCACGTGGATTTCACCCCCCGGTGGTCCCCTCTCTAGGGGGGCCTTAGTGTTTGACCTTAGCTCTTGTCTAGCTCGGGCGACCTGAGGACAGTCCCTCCTGAGATGCCCTCGCCGATCGCACACATAACACGCCCGGGGAGGGGTGGCGGCTCCGTAGTGGGTTCTCTGCCCACTCCCTCCTCCCCCAGTGCGCTGCTGCTCATACTCTGCTTCTAGTCGCGCTATCCTTCCAGTTAGCCCTCCTACCGTGGAGTCTAGTTCCCCCATCTCGGATCGGATGGTCTCAACGGAGGATTGCAGTTTGGTCATATTTTTATTTGCTTCCTCGCGTACCTGAGTTACCCTCTCACCTACTTGGGTTATCATATCTCCCATGCCGGCCTGTAACCCGGCTACCCACCCCGGGGTCGTCTCGCTGGGTCTCTGTGGCTCTCTTTCCCGGCCCCTTACCGTCCTCGCGAGCTCCTGTTCCTCCTCCTCGTCTTCCGAGAGCAGGCTCGCAATGGCGCGCTCTCGTCCCAGCCCCCGGAGCTGCGCGCGTTCGCTGTGAATTCTTTCACACTTACGTGCGCGCTCGACAAGGGCGTTAAAGGGAAGACGTGGGCAGCTCATGTCTGGCTGCCACCACGCCGTGCGAGACAGGTACCGCTGGATTTTCTCGGCGGCCAGTTCCTCAATAACATCAGTTGCGTACCCCGGGCGTGCGATCTTTGTTAACTCGCGCACATCCTCGGCGTAATCACGTAGATCTTCGCCGGGTTGGCGACGGCGCGCCTCTAAGGCCGATTTTGCTTCCTCCTCGTCACGCGTGCCAAAACGCTGATCGAGTCGGCGCATCAGCTCCTCTAGCTGTGTCTGTGCGCTCGCGGGTAACGCTTCTACAAAATCGGCTGCCCGCCCATCAAGATTCATATTAAGTTGACGTACTGCCTGCGCGTCCGTCCATCCATTAATTTCCTTGGCCCCTAAGAGATTGCGGGCGAATGCCTTCCACGAAGGGGCCCCCCGGCCGGTAAATATTAGTCTTATTTTAGCGTGAGGTAACGCGGGGGTCCGTACCGCTTCCGACACCAATTTGTGGGGGCCGTTGGCCCCCGGGGTCCCTCCCGCCTGCATCCCCCTATTCGTTTACGTTACCCCACCTCCCTATTACCCGCTACGGTTTCGCCGGCATTCGAACGCGACACCCCTACTATTACAGCCTCGCGCCGCGCTCCCACGCTGTGAGCATACGTGCGCACATCATTATCAATCAAACGCCGTGCTCGCAGTATAGCCCTGTGCGGCACGTTACCAATGCGCATCCGTATCCGACACGTAACGAACGTATGCGAGGCACACGCCGACACAACGACTCAAGTTGCCGCCGCCGTGCCGCGCGAGATAAACCGTACAACAATGCGCAGCCGATTACGCGCTCGAGCACACGCAAGCTCGCACAAAGCTAACAGCTTCACTGCGCACCGCGGTTTCGCACACGCGAGCGGGGTGCACGCCGACACGACGACTCGTCCCCTCCCGCACTCGCGCGTGCACGTCAACACAAGTATCGTGCAAGGACGACTCTCCTCTCACACGGCTGCGTAGGCACGCCAACACACAAAAGTGCTCTCCCCGGGCGCTAACACACACACCTCCGTACCCGCACCATCGTACAGAGACCACGGCCTTTACGCACACAACGACCACACACCCGCGAATGCAGTGCACGCTAATACCACGTTCAAAAACACCCAACAACACGGTTTTGTTACTACGCTCGAGATTTTATTAACCCTTGTTAACTCACCGAGCCACCCGTGTGTGTGTACGAGCCAGCAAGGCGCTTCCAACCCACTCTCTAGTGGCGTGCAGCCCTATTCTATGCTGCGCTCTCTGTTACACCGCTTTCCTACTCGTCCTTACCCCGAACTAACCTTCTCCTACGGATCCTACTCTCCGCTCTGAGGTGTTGTAAGGCGCGTAATACGATACCGTCTGTAGTCCTAGGTGACCTTGCGGCGCTCAGGTCGTCCTGCAGACGATCCTGCGGCTCGCCCGATGACTCCCTCGTCGTCGAGCCCGTGTCACTACTCCAGAACAAGAGAGTCCCCTACTGCCCCTGCGTTTTCTTTTAAACTATCCACATCAAAGCTAGGCGCCCCCGTCCCGACCGCCTTGGTCTCTCGACCAATCCTGAGCCTAGGATTTCCCGCCCTTTTGCGATCCCGCCGGCCTTTGACCTTTTTGCTAAGCAGCAGCCCCGGGTCCTGATCCTAGCTATCTGCCTTGCTGACCCGTGTTTGTGTTTGTATGCGTTTCTAACTGCGGGGCTCTCTGAGCTCGCCGTGGTCGTGCGATCTCAAATCCGCCCACGGCGCCGCAGTGTTACTTAGCCTGGGAAGGGTCCTGTCCAATTCCCTGGCCCTGAGAAACCGTGGGGTAACCCCCCGAGGGGGCCCTCGGGTAAAAACTCAGGGTAGGTGACCCGACCACAAGGCCCTACGTGGGTGCGGGTGCGTGCTTATGTGGGGGGGGTGATGGGGGGCAGTGCAGTGGTGGAAGCCGGGCGGCTCCCTGGCTCGGCAGAGCGGCCCCGTCGTTGTGGCACCACAGAGCCTCCCTACGTGATATTTGAATCACATAACCAGTGAGCTATGCCGCAGGTTGGCATTAAGTTGCTTTCTCAGAAGGATCGCTTCTCAGTGTCCCTACACATGTATTTTAAGAAACATTAATACCTAATAAAGTATATATTATTGCGTGCACAATTTGATGTGCATATCATAAATGATTAATCCACACAATGTTTACATACCAAAATACGAATGTGTTGTCCTTCCCCAACACCTCCGATTTGTCTGATTTGCTACGTACGGTGGTGCGAAAGAAGTTCAACATGCATACGTAGGAATGTGTCTATGGAGATGATCTATCGAGGAGATAGAGCTAGGAAAGTAGGTAATGTACCGGTACTCGGTGCATTTGTTTGTCATCGCAGGTGAATTAACAAAAGGCAAAGAAAGAATGGTGACAAACGCGTGACCGTGCCCGCGATTAACCCGATGATTTTACCGTTGCGGTTTTTGTTTCAACAGGAGAGACTTTGCTCGGGAAAGTGATGTTCTACTCCAACAACGATGAAACGAACGGCGTCAGATTGTTCGAGCGGGTCGAATGCAGTGTGGGTGGCAGCATCAGCGACGCTGTTAAGGTATGGACAACGCGTGGCTGCGCTTTAAGTACTGTAGTCAGTGGGTCCACAATCAAAGCCACAAGAAGAGCCATTTAATTTTCGAATGGTGTCCAAAACTCAATACAGTTGATAATCAATTATCCTGGCACACGATTATATTCTGCTTCCAACATTATTCGGCGGGTCCCAGTGTGAAATATTGCATACAGTACATGATACACTACATACAACTTAAACAATGAAAAGACTGCACGTGCATACATCACCCCATGCAGAGTCTTTGAGATTGGAGTGGTAAGTACGGCACAGTAAATACTTTTTGAAAGGATATATTTATGTTTGCCTATTTGCATATTTATTTATGGCAATTTCACATAGTAAACTAATTAAAAACATATACACAAAACCGAAAAACATAATATCATGCAAGAATGGCCAAAAATACCCTATTTTAAATAATGATGATGTGGTGATTATCCGGCGGTTTAAAAATTCTGGCACACCCTCTTCCCCCCGAAGCCGCCGGATAATCGATTATCTCCTGTACTTAAAGAGCCGCATGCATTGAACTACATACGTACATTACATTTACGCCAGCTGAAGACAGAGTCTTGACTTAAAACTTTCGTGACTGCAGGAATTCATATTCTTTGGTTCTTTCGGTAAAGTCACGTCGATAGAAAATAATAAAAATAAAGTGAATAGAAATAATATATATTAAAAACCACTAATGTAGACTGTATCCTGGTTCTTAATCAGAGTGAGTGTACTTGCAGTCTATAATGTAGACTGTAGCAATGGTTATTAAGCTGGGTGCGTGTACTGGCAGTCTATAATGTAGACTGTAGTCTGGTTCTTAACCTCAGTGAGCGTACTGGTAGTCTATAATATAGACTCTACCCTGCTTTTTAAGCTTGCTACAGTCTACATTATAGACTGCCAATACGCTCACCAAGCTTAAAAACCAGGCTACAGTCTATATTATAGACTGCCAGTACACTCATCGAGGTTAAGAACCAAACTACAGTCCACATTATAGACTGCCCATACGCTCACCAAACTTAATAACCAGGCTTCAGTATACATTATAGACTGCCAATACAATCACTCCGATTAATAACCAGGCTACAGTCGACATAACTTTTTTTTATTCACCATATTTTTATTCTTATTTTTTCTATCTACGTGACTTTACCGAAAGAACCAAAGAATACACAGAGTCTATTTCAAGGATCCAAGCATCTTGGAACTCAACTGCGAAAACAGGAAGAGGAGCAGCGGGTAACGGCAGAAACGGCAACGCTGCAGCCCGACTTACTGATCCAGTTCCACACCACTACCACTCGCTCTGGACACGTGCGTGTCTGAGCTGCGGGAGAATCTGTCGATCCCAGATCTGGTCTCTTCAGCCATCTTAGGACCCACAGATGATCCGACTTTTCTGTAGAAGACAATCATCCTCGATTGCGAGGCATGGCCTAATTATGGTGACATTACGTCACAAAGGGGACCGTGAAGAGCCGCGTGCGGCTCCGGAGCTACAGTTTGCCGACCCCTGCTTTAAGTCAAGTGGCTCTTCACTGATTTTCACAGTAGGGGGTGGGGGGTTTCCACTTTCGCCGACGAGACATCATCATTGGTGAGGGCTGCCACACCATTTGAAACCTTTGGGGGTTTGACAGAGTCTCCGCGCGATGATGATAAGCCACTATTTCGTTGAGCTCTCATTTGTGTTAAAGCCCACCAAGCTATATAGCTTGGTGGGCTTTACCAGGGTAGACAAAGAATAGGTTAGTTTTGTTGTATTGTTTAAAAGTGATTTGTTTACCTTTCCTATATGTTGCACTCCTATCGTGTTTGTTGTAATGGTCTGATCTCGTGCCCCTAATAGGCATCTGTGAAAAAGAGTGTCATAGCTCATCGGATTCCTCCTGCAATATAAATACAGATTCTGATGATGGAGGTGTTCTCACTATTTGTGTATTGTCGGGGGCCGCACGTCAGGGGTTGCACTAAAGGCCACCAGGGGCCGCCAAGCGGCCCACAATGGCCTTGCTAATGAAGAACACTGTTTTAAATATTCTCCAAATAAGGTTGGCTCCCTCTGTTACATGGGGCTATGGTAACGCGTGTAAAGATCTTCCCATATAATTGAAATGTTAGCGTAACATTCTGCTCCTGTGAGAGAGTGTAACCAAAACTAAAACCTAAAACCAATATAAAATGGTATTGCTACACAATGAAAAAAAGCATGGGTTCACTTCTTTTTATTCGTTCAAACAATGTACCAATTTCTTTGTTAGCTGAGGTCTAAAAGTTAAACTGGTCGGGGATTCCCCGGTAAATATAACAGTCCTTATTCTGTGGGTCTTTCGGTAAAGTCACATAGATAGGTTCAAAGAAAATAACAAAAAATTACGACGTTTCGATCGCAACACAAGCAGTTGTCGTCAGGAAAAAGGGGTTAGCTTGTGTTGCGATTGAAATATTGTAGTTTTTTGTTATTTTCTTTGAACCTATCTACGTGACTTAACGGAAAGACCCGAAGAATATGAATTCCTGCAGTTACGAAAGCTTTAAGTCAAGATTCACAGTCGTTATATCTATTATGACTCTAAAGAGCACAGTAGCAGTGGTCCCTCAGTGACTCTGTGGGTCATCTTTGTGCACAGAGCCTTAGCGTGATGCTGTCCATGAAATCCCCCTTTGTGTGCCTTGTCAGACTGAACAACATGTGCCCGCGAAGAGTGCTTGTCCCAAAACAGTCGTTGCCGGCTACACGGGGGAGGTGAAATATAAAGCACGGAGATGTGAACAGAGAGAATGAGATCAACGAATGGAGTGGCGCGCACTAGCCTAAGTTACAGACGCTAAAACCTGCCTAAAGAACGATGTTATTTTGTACTTGAATAAAAGATGGTCATATATTTGTTTTTCACAGGTCTTGGACGTGGAGACAACCTGGTGGGAGAGAACGGTAGCCGGTTTGGTGATCTTCACTGCTGATCTGTCAGGATACAGGGGCTCACTTCTACACTGTGTCATGTACCCAGCAGGGAAATGGTTACTGCTAAGTGAAGTGCAGTTTCAAAGTGGTACGTACTCTTGCTAATATCTGTTTATACGTGTGTCCAGGGCTTAATTTATTACTCGGTATTATCAGCAATTAGGCAGGTTTGGAGCATCGATTATCAGCGTAAGGCACTACAACTGGAGTACAGGGTACACCTAATCCATAGTTATTGTATATCCAATATGCTTACAATAATATGAAGAATAATGAGCACAAAATAAAGAGAGTTGATATGGGATGCTAACATAATTTTCGGAACATCGTCATTAGTTATTCCGGCTGGAAGTTAACATGATTTGTTGCTGTTGTTGTTTGTGCTATTAAAAAAAGTCGTGTCTTGTACATAGGATGCGACATTGCTCTGGGTCTGAGCACTGGAGCTGTTCATCCAGAGCAAATATCTGCAAACACAGGAGAGACACGCAGCCTGGGTCTCCGGTCAGGTGCGGTGGTGTATGCCTGACGCCTTGAGACGTTGTGAAAGGCGTCCAATAAGTGCATGTTGTTTTTTTCCTCCTAGAGGATCGGTTACACCTGTAGTCAAAGCACTGAAATGTATCTTCTTTTTTTTACAAATAATGAACTACCGGTATAATATTTCAATTTAACACGTAGGTTGTCGCAACCAATATTATTCATAAGAAGGTTTTTGGGGAAGTTTTTTTGCCAGAATTGTCAACGAAAAATTGCCTCTGGTCTTCGCAGCTGATTAGCTCATAAGTGAAAACAGCACATTTATCCCTCGTCTATTGATGACTGAAACAGGAGGAGGATTTCTCCCCATCAAACACATAACTGGTTAGTGCTGAGCTAGTAACTAATTGGTCACGTTTTATTTACGTGACAAACCCCTTACTGATTGGCTGTGTCGCGGTAGTGGCGGGTTCACGACACATTTATATTGATGTGATCTAATCCTAAAAAACCTATTATGGATGCAAATTTGACCTGACAGCTAGTCGTCATCTTCCATGCAGTTAATTTACACACTTCTGAAGACAAACGTACATTGTCAAACTCTCATATAATCCCTGTTTATGCGCGTTAATCTTTTCTTTCCTTCTAATTTGTGACACCTGCGCAGACTGCTACTTCGGACGTGGGCAAGCCTACCGTGGCAACGTCTCAGTCACCCAGTCTCAGGTGCCCTGTCAGCCGTGGAGTTTGCAGAGCCCGCACGCTCACCCCGAGACTCCGCTCAACTACCCAGATGGTGGACTGGACGGCAATTACTGCCGCAACCCCAGCGGCATGAGGGAGAGGCCTTGGTGCCACACCAATGGCACGGACACTACCTGGGATTTCTGCAGCATGCCGGCTTGTGGTAATTTACCATGTATTGCAACGATGGTTGGAAGCTTACTTTCGGTTCCGTGAGCCATCAGTGATTAACGCTGAACCATATGGGAGCCTTAGTCTGGTTGTGTGAGCCTTAGTTATTAACGCTGAACCCTATTTGAGCCTTAGTATGGCTCTGTGAGTGTCAGTGATGAACACTGAACCCTATGGGGAGCCTTAGTCTGGTTGTGTGAGCCTCAATGATGAACACTGAACCCTATGGGATTCTTCGTCTGGCTCTGTGAGTCTCAGAGATTATAACTGAACCCTAATGGATCCTTAGTCTGGTTCTGCGAGTCTCAGTGATTAACACTCAGGTTCACAGAGCCAGATTGAAAGCTTAATTAATGTACACAAACCCTATAGTAGATTTGGTCTGCCTTTGTAAGCTTCACTGATTAACAATAAACCCTATGAGAACATTAATCTTACTCTATATAAACTATAAACTAAACTATTTTTTATCTAACCAGATAAAGCCCAATAAGCTATGTAGCTCTTTTTTAGAAGCAACCTGGCTATAGCAAATGACAGCTCAACCAATTGGCTTATCTTGTGGAAATTTACATCAGCCAAATACTCTAAAGGCATGCTTACTAAATGTAGAGGGAAAAAACCTGATGATCTAGAAAAAGTCCACACGAGCACGGGTAGAGAGACATGCAAAGTTCAAATATACAGCAGGCGTCAGGGTCGGGATCGGAACCCCTGAATTCCTGCATATCAGGCGAGGTAGTTAACATCTCCTAGCCACTGTGATGATGCTGAGAGAGACACGCAAACTCAAAATATACAACACGCATCAAGGTCGAGATAGGAACCCCCTGACCTCCCGCATACCAGGCGAGGGAGTTAACATTTCCTCACCACTGTGGCACCAAATAACTATATATATGCAACTGACCAATTTGTTTAAATAGTTTTTCCAAAACCTGGAAACACAAACCAGAACTTACAACAAACTATTTGCCAATATGAAAACTTATTTTGCCCTGTTAGGTACACATTGGCTTTTAGTTCTGGTAATTAAGTACTTGAGGGGAAAAATACACGTCAGAAAGCATTGAAGAATGCGTGTATATGCATGAGAAGTAGTTACTAGCACATACAAACAAACATGCTCTGATAATATATTCATTTTCTTTGAAACTATTTGGCCTACACCAGAAAAATTGCCTCTGGTCTTCTTTATGGCCTAGTCTCACCACCAGTGTCAGAACAGAGAACACAAAAATGACAAACAGGACAAAGGCAATGCGCGCATTTGTCGCTCTGGGTGAGCAGCATCATCATGGGACCTTTTTGCCAGTATCAAAGTATGAAAAATAAGAATAAGTTTTACCCTTTCTGAGACAAGGCCATAAAGAAGGCTGCTGTCTCTTGTGTAGGCCAATCAGTTTCAAAGACAATGCATATATTATCAGATCATGTTTGTTTGCATGTTCACCACAAGTACGTGTGGTTAATACATACTCTTAGTTCTTTCGGTAAAGTCACGTAGGTAAAAAATGAAATTAAAATTAATAAAAATAAAAATAATAAAATCACGACGTTTCAGAGGCAACACAAGCTTCCGTCTTCAGGTGAAACTGTCACAGCAGATATTTTGCTGTGAGTTTCACACGTCGTGATTTTATTGTTTTTATTTTTTTATTAATTTTAATTTCATTTTTTACCTACGTGACTTTACTGAAAGAACTAAGAGTATGAATCCTTGCAGTCACGAAAGCTTTAAATCTATAATTGGTTAATACATATTTGATTACTTGCAAAATGTATATATTTGGTGTTTTTTTACAACTTAACACCTGTTTTATTGCCAGAAAGGGTAAAAAATCACATGATTATATTTCGCATAATGTTAATGATGTTAATACTAGCATGCGTTAAAGTTGTCTAATAAACGTTGTTTATTTTGTACAACACTTGTTCAGGCTCTTGGGTCGTCGATCGTTACACGGTTGGAACCCACATCACTGTTGACTTCACAAGGCCCGTTCAGATTTCCAAGATGGCGATGGCTGGAAATGGCTACTATTGGACGTCTGCATTGGAGGTTGGAGTGCTTTTTACACGCTTTTATTTAACTCACTCTGTTTGTTGTTGTCGTTGTTGTCGTTGTATCCTCAAATCTTGTAACTAAATCTTTACCCACTTCCCAATGTGGTATCGACTGCAAACTTGGTATACTCATGTCATACTGATGGCAATACTATATTCTATAAAAAATATATATATTTAAACATTCATTTTTACATGTTATGTTTCGGCTTGGGTCTAATTGTCCACGTTCAACTGACGTTGGCTGTAAATAACCACGGTCCCTTATGTTATGGCAAGCCTTGGGGCCACTTCTTGGAGTCGTGGAGTTCTGCCGGTACATTTCCTTAAAGCGTGTTTAAACAAAAATATTTTTCCATATTACTTATTATTATGTTGTATTTTACCAGGTAAAGCCTAATGAGCTGTCTAGTTATTTTCCTGAAGCGACCTGGCTGCTACAAATTATAGCTCAATGCTTTGGTGTATTACGTGGAAATTTATAGCAATAAATACTCTAAACGCATGCTTCTAAATGTGGCAAGAAAATCCGGAGGATCTGGAGAAAAATACACACGACCACGGGGAGAGACATGCAAACTCTAAATATACAGGCGTCAGGGTCGAGATTGAACCACAACCTCCTGTATACCAGGCGAGGAAATTAACAACTCGGCCACCATGGTGCCATACCGGCAAAATATCAACCGCTATTTCAGATGAGCACTCGGCACTACACTTGTTGCAGCAATGCAAGCAGACAGTGTGAATTGAATACCCCGTCCCATCCACGTGAATATGCGCAAACCATACCCACAATGTGGGCATGGTTCTTGATGTCAGAGTTCATTCAAAGTGAGACAACGGTTCGTTGAAGGACGGAAGTCATTGATGAGAAATCAGGGAGGCGTAGCAGACACCAGTGTAATATCACTCATACCTCGTTTTCCAAAACAAGTAGTGATGCTTGGTAAGCCTGCATGACGACTACAACTACTCTACAAGGCCACAGTTGACCTCTCTGATCTCCGTCTGTGCTCATGGATGAATGGCCATCACAGCCCGCAGTGACTCTCAGTGACACTCCCAATATCACGCACAGACATTGCTCAGTTAGGCTCGGCCAAGCACAGTTCACAGTTGCACATCAGGGTCACCTCCTGACAATGGACTCGTAAGTACCCAACGAAATTAACGCTGCACAAAACGTACGGACGTTCCGTGCATATTCGTTTGGCACACACCCTTTGTCGGCAAGCCAATCACAAAAGCTGCAATTCACGGTAAAACTAAATAACATTCACACTCTGTGATACCTAAAAGTGGTAACTTAAATGAGAACCCGAGTTTGGTTGTATTGCCAACTTTACAAACTAAATTAGAACCAAACTTTATTTTATTTTACCAGATAAGGCCCACTGAGCTATGTAGCCTTTTCAGAAGTGACATGGCAACAGATGATATCTCAACGAAGTGGCTTTTCATCACGTGAAAATTTATAGCAACGAAATGCTCAAAACGTGTGTTTCTGAAGGTGGAGGGAAAAAACTGTAGAACCCTTAGAAAAATCCACGTGACCACTAGAGAGACACGCAAACTCCAAATATACAGCAGATATCACCATGGTTGAGATCGAACGCACGACCTGCATACCAGACGAGATAGTTAACAACTCCAAGCCATACTCTTTGGTTCTTTTGGTAAAGTCACGTAGATAAGAAAATAAACAATAGATCACGACGTTTCGATCGCAACAGCAAGTGATCGTCCACAGGTGAAAGAGAGAAACATGCCTCTGTGACGAGGCATTATATAGATCCGAGAGGGGGAGGGGGAGGGGAGGCCGTAACGGGTGAGAGGGTTGGGATGAAATTCAAAGAGGGCTTAGGTCAAAGAGGGGGAGGGAAGGGAGGCCGTAACCGGCGAGAGGTTGGGGTGAAATTCAAAGAGGGCTTGGGTTAACAAAATTTAGAAATGTAATGCAACTCAGAGTCGGCTAACACAACAGTTAACACTTTACCTGGTTGATGAAGTCCTTCCAAAGATTGCTGAATTTTGCATCCATCTTCTCGGTTGAAGTTATGTCTGAGTTGTGTGGAAAACCTCCCCGTAGAGGCGGTTCAATCTTGATTAGAAGCTTTAGTGACTGCAGGAATTCTAGCCACGATGGCAGAGTCCACTATCCCGAGCCCCATTGCTCTTCACAACCTCGGGATGTTAACGTTCGCCCGTTGTGAGCGCTGTTGTTATTATCGCGAATGAAATACTTTCCGAGGGAGATTGTTTGCTTGATCCATGCGTGTACACGATTTGTTCTTGTGTTCTCAGGTGGCGTACAGCATGGACAATACCATTTGGGATAGTTACATTGATAGCACGGTCCAAAACTCTATACTACAGGGGAACACTGATGCTGAAAGTATCAACTTTGTAACATTCTTGCCAAAGATTACGGTGAGTATATATATATATACCTTAATCTTTCATCCATAATCTATCAAATATGCTGAGCTGTTTTGTCAAATATTGGTTAATGAGAAGACTGGATGTTGAAAGATTGAATTGTGATGTCGAACTGTCGCCAAATGGTAGCGTGCTTTGCCACTTGTTGCAGAGGTTCCCATTGCAAGCCCCAACATCAACCCAGGCTAATGCCACTGGTGGATTAATCATAAAACAAATCGTCTGCTTAAAAGGCAAGACGTGAAAATATCCCCATAATGTCACTCACACAGAGTGGGTGTTGTCTAATAAATGCATTGGGGAGGAGTGGGGAGATAGGAGCTGGAAGATGTGGCTCAGCAGAGACCCAAACGTCAGAGGCCAAGGTCTGGTGACTGGACCAGTGATGGGCAACCCAGACGAGTTGTGAGGCTGAGTGGCGTAGTAACTACATTATTAGTGGTGTAGTAACTGCATTATCAGTGGCGTAGTAACTGCATTATCAGTGGCGTAGTAGCCACATTATCAGTGAAGTCGTAGCTAGATTATCAGTGGCATAGTGACTACATTATTAGTGGCATAGTAGCTATATTATCAGTGGTGTAATCGCTACATTATCAGTGAAGCTCTAATGAAATTAAAGTAAATCGTGGAAAGTAAATGAAAGCATTTCCATAACAATCAAACATTTTTTCCGCGTTTTAAATGAGTTGTTTGTGTGTGTTTTTACGCTGTTGTTGAAAACAATTCTATCATATCATTGTACGTCCTCTAGTCGAACACCGTTTGAGACTAGGCTTAAAAGAAAGGTGTCTCTGGTGTAGACCAATCAATGCATATATTATCAATCTTTTTTGTTTTCATTCTGACCACAAATATTGTGGTTAATGCTGACATTATTCCTTCTTAAAAGGTTTTCAGTTTTGTTGCCAAAAAAAAGGGGATAAACCTGTTATTATCTTAAATCTATCAAGTGGTTGTCAAAGGGGCCCCAAGTCGTCGCTTTGGCCACCAGGGTGCAAGGGGGAAACCCGCACACAGCCGTGGATTACTGGACACGAACCATTTTTTAGTTGGACAACCTGGACAATTTTATGAACGGCGATAAAGCAGTAGCCATGTGCAGTAGGACTTCATGATGTGTTATCTAATTCCTGCTTTCTCTTAAAATATTCAGGCCCGGTTCATCTCTGTGATCCCCAAGACATCCGAGCAGTACTATTCAGCGATGAATGTGGAGTTCTTTGGTTGTTCGTCCGACAAGCAGTCTTCGAGCAGCTACACCAACGTCACTGAAAATATAGTGAATGTAAGTAAAACAAAGACAAAGATCCCCCGTATAGCCTGAACAGAGACTGTTGGGGCAAGTGGTGTTAGTGAGCACCTATGAAGGCCGGCACTTGCTGTGGTTATGGGTTACCACGATATAAAATTTGACGTGACAATGGTCAGGAAATCAGTTTCCCACAACTTTGTAATGTTGTGAACGTTTTAACTGCATTGTGTATTTTGCGATGTTACGCATTTCCTCACGTACAAGGACAGATGGCTTAAACGGGGATTCAACTGCACTTCCCTCACTGAAGCCTGTCATTTGTCTTATCATGACAACGTTTAAATAGTTATGCTATGTTCAACTTGTTACCATAATTGCTCTTCTGTGGCAAACGGGAAGGCTCCCATTATAAATATATTTTCACATGGATTTCCACAATAATTATTGTGGTAACAGTAACATTTTCGTCCATAATCACCTTGAAATTACTAAACTAGATCTGTTCATGATATCTGCCCTCACACATTTTACTGTTCCAAGCCTTGCTTCACCCTCTCCGGCTCAAAGGTGATAAACATTTCTATTTCACACCCTCTTCCTCTCTAGATCTCTAGCACTAGATTTGATATTCTCGGGGTCTGCATCTCTCTCTCTCAAATCTTATATTTGCGAGAGATAGCATCTATGTCTGTGCATACGTACGTACAAAGATAGCAAACTTGATTAAGTTATACAGGCTGCTGTGGGGCTACGTGGTAGGCCGCAGGTGGCAGTGAAGCGCTTCTATGCCCCCTCGTTTATGAGGTTTGTCTTTGCCAAACCCGCTAGGACCAGTGAAAGAAAAGTATGGTCAAATACTCCCTACGTCCCACATGGCATGGGGAGGTGGCAAGATGTTAACTCTCTCGCCTGGTATACAGGAGATTGTGGGTTCGATCCTGACCTTATGCCTGCTGTATATTTGGAGTTTGCGTGTTGCTCTTCTCGTGATCGTGTAGATTTTTATCCTGGTCCTCTTATGGTTGTTCTCTCCACATTTAGAATCAACAACATGCATTTCGAATATTTGGCTGCTGCTATAAATGTCCACTTGATGATAAGCCACTTGGTGGTTGAGCTATCAATTGTGATAGCCAGGTCGCTTCTGAAAAAAAGCTATACAGCTGAGTAGTGGGGACCTTATCTGGTAAAATATAACATTGTTTTAGTTTTAGGGCCTCATCCTGGAACGGATTTATAAAAGAGCTGCACAACCACGCCTAGGCTGAAAATTACCATTCTCCTCCTCGGTTGTTTTTTTAAATCCAAATGCATTTGCTTTGCAGGATAAAGTGTGGTCTTTGGCGAACAACCCTTTTCTCATCCATGGAGACATCACGGTTTCCAAGTAAGATTGCTGAAACGTTATTTCTTTTTTTAAACGTTCATCAAATGGGCGAACAAATTGCGTATTTTGACGTATGGGAGCGGTTCTTTTACCGGCGCGACGCCCATTACCAACAGTAGCTGTATGGTCTGTGAAAACTTCTATTACCTGCGGCCCTATTAGTTTTTACTGTTTATCTAATGCTACTTTGAGGAATGGCTTAACCTCATCAAGCGGAGTTGGGTGGCATGTTCTCTCTATTTGATGCCAAGGTGGCGAGATGTTGAATACCTCGCCTGGCATGGAGGAGGTCATGGGTTCGATCCCGACCGTGATGTCTGTATTTTTGGAGTTTGTATGTATAATAGTGTATAGTGTAGTATAGAGTAGTGGAATGTATAGTGTAGTGTATAGTAGTGTATAGTGTAGTGTATAGCAGTATAGTGTAGTATATAGAGTAGTGTAGTGTGTACATATGTTGAACTTCTTTTGCACCGTATGTAGCCAACCGTGCTAATTGAAGGATAAGGTTACTCGAGGCCATGGCACTCTGGATGACCCGGGAGGACGCGTGACCAGTAAGTCTACAAAGAGGCCCCAAGTGAGGGCTGGGGGTGGTCACGTGATTGGGACCCAGATCCTTCCCGAGGAGTCTAGAAGGTGGACGTGGCCAAGGGTCGAGCCGGCCACGCCGCAGAGAATATAAGCCGGGTCCCAAGAGGGCCTGGGGTTGTTGTTCAGCCTAGAAGAAACCTTCGTCTATGTTCTCCGTTCAACGAGTCTCCAACACGTGGACCTGAGCTGTTGGTCGCGGTCCGTAGTAGCAGTTACGTTGTAACTAGTGTAGTTAGCCTGGTAGTCACCACCATAGGTTGTTATTCTGTTAAGGGGACAGTTACACCGTGTGTTAGAACTGAATACATGTGTTGCCTCCAAGTCTACGTCTGTGACTCAGTTGAACCCATTACACATTTTTGAAATGCATGTCTATACAGGCCAACATACTTAAATAGGGATTACCATTGGTACGGCTTTTTTAACGCACACAATGGACAGGAAGGACAAGATGAAATGGCTCTCATAATGTGCATGTATAATGTTCGTTGACCCATTAATCCCCCTTCCCCACTTTGCACAAGAGCGCACAAGTGTGGTCACCACATCTACGCCTCTATATAGGGAACGAAACAGGTGGATTTCTCCACAAATCTAGCTGTCACCTAATTAAGCTAGTTGTAATTACTGTCGAAACGTCGTACTCAGATTGTAAATGTTGTGGCTTGGCTCTCCAACACACCGGTGTGCTGTACTAGTGACGAATTGGCATGTTTTGTTTATGTGACAACCCTTACTAGTTGGCTGTGTCGGGTGGTGGCGGGTTTTAATGACACATTTATATATTTATGCGATCTAACCCAAAACAAACCTCTTATGGATGATATTGGTCGCGAAAGCTTACATGTGTAGAGGTGTTACGTAACGGGGAGAAACGGGCAGTTACATTGGGGTGTCTACATCCACGTCCGCAAACGGTTACCACCCTGGAGGGCTGTGTGGGGGGGAGCCTGGGATCCCACACAGCCCCGCCCCTCGAGGGCATGTTGGTATATAAGGCGGAGAGCGAGAGAGCGAGAGGCAGTCGTTGGGTACAGATCAAGATGAAGAATCAGTGAAGACTGAAGGCCAGCTAGCTAACCCTGGAACTCCCCTGCCTCGCTGTCCTTGTAAGGGCCGATCAGGGCAAGCCAGTGGTGCGACCTCAGAGCAGCGAGGTCTGATGTCCTTGTAAGGGCCAGACTCGTGTGGCTGAGGGTCGGAACCTGCGCCGAAGCTGGGCCAGGTTAGCTAGCCTACATTTGGGGAAGGTCTGGGATAGAGGGAAGTAGGGAGTTAACGGGGAGCGTTAGCTGGGGAACACTTCCTCTAATAGACCGGGTGAAGAGGCCGATACATCTTCGAGTGTTAGAGTCGTTACTCTGCTGTATTGAATTTAATTGTAATAAATACGTGTTGCCTCCATCAACTTCTCCTGCATCACATACGCCCATTACACATGTAAAACTGACTATACACTACATTACTATACACTACACTATTATACACGATACTACTATACACTACACGATATACTACACTACTATACACTATATTATTGGTTCTTTCGGTAAAGTCACGTAGAAGGGAAATAATACAAATAAAACAATAAAACTATACACTACAATACTAAAATGAAAACTAATGTAAAGAAGTTTAAGATATTTTGGATATCTTATACTTAAACGTAATCAAAACGTCACATGTTTTTGTCTTGTTTAAGGTTTGCAAAGTTGACAATACAACCTGGAGTAAAAGTTTTTTTCTCAGTTCCAGCAAGTCGGCTAACGATACAGGGTGAGTTTTGAAATATTGTACACGTGTGTAAACTGCATATCTGAAACTACAAGGGGATGTGTTTCCATATTTTTGGGAGTATTCACATTGTCCTCGGCTTACGAACACAATTCGTTCCTGAGACCCGTGCGTAAGTCGCAACACTATAATACACCACTGTGTTTAAATGCCCATACGTTCGGTATTGTGAAATGTGTGACAGGTCACCAAAAAGGGAAGCCATTGTTAAACTCGTTACCATCTCCCACAGTATTGCTACTCTGATTAAAATAGTTCCGTGGTTAAATTTTTTAGTGCGGGTTCGCTTTTTAAGTCAATGTTATTTTATATTTCATGGAAACTGGTTCGTAAGTACGGGCGTACAGGTGTTGGAAAGTACGGGCGTTGGTAAATACGGGCCTTGGTAAGTACGGGCGTTTGTAAGTATGGGCGTCCATCATTGCAGGCGTTTGTAAGTGCAGGCAAATCGATCGTAAGTGCGGGCATTCAAAATTACAAGTGTTCGAAAGGACGAGCTTTTGTAATTATGGGCATTGGTAAATATGGGCGTTGGTAAGCACGGGCGTTTGTAAGTACAGGCTTTCGTAAGTGCAGGCATTCAGAAGTGCGGGCGTTCGTAAGTGCGGCCGTTCGTGAGTGCGGGCGTTGGTAAGTACGAGTGTTGGTAAGTATGGGCGTTGGTAAGTACGGGCATTCGTAAGTACGGGCTTTGTTAAGTAAGGGTGTTCGTAAGTCAATTACTACATATATATCCCAAATAGGTATGAAAGTTCAGATGATGCACAAATTGTTCTGTTTTGGATCTCATAATTTTGCTCAATTCAATAAATGCGTGAACACTGATCCATTACAACTTTGACAGTGCTGTAAGTTGCTGGCCGCTTGGCATGTTGAACCTTTAGGCACTCCGCTGAGCCGCTGTGTTTAAAAAAAGAGTTATTATAATAAAGTAATCCTACTAGGATTGAGTGGGGTTGGGGTCATGAAAAGGTGACAAGGGACCATGCTCACAGAAATAATACAAAGAGGGAAGAGGAGTGATGACAAGGAAGGTGAGATAAAGGGTGATATTGGGGGAATGGGGTGGGAAAACCTTCCAGAGAGGTAGAGACTGGCGAGGAAGAGGAGTTTTTATGCAGGGACTCCTCTACTTACGAACATTCTACTTACGAACTTTCAAAGATCCGATCCTGTCCGTATCTCCAGTTGTATGTTCGGATCGAGAGTCGTAAGTTCAACTGCCGCGCAATCGATGCCAGTAGTTGTCCGGTGTCAAGCACTGGCTTGTTTTGAGTCTCAGGACCCATTCTGAAAGGTTTACTCAGGAGTCGGCAGCTGTTCACGATGCTATTGCCTGTTACAAGTTGATTTATGAAGAGAATAAGTATAACCCGTAAAAACAAAGTTTTTCACTATAAATCCTTTATATGCGTGGCAGCGAACTTAATATAAAGGATTTAAAAATATATTCGCCTGTGGAGGACGCGGGGATCGATCCCGCGACCTTTGGCATGGGAAGCGAGGGCGCTACCAACTGCGCTACTCCGCCACGGCCTGTGGAGGGGTTACGCTCTGGGCTCTTATACTGTGACGTTCAGCCAAAGCGATGAATGAGTTTTATTTGAATATATGTAAAATAATTTTTTTTTGCCTAAAAACTGTAAAATTTTGGGAATTTTTTTTCACGAACATTAATTGTCTGGCACAACGAGTCTGTGTGGAAAATGTCAGCTCGATTGGATCACGGGAAGTGGGTTAAAAAACGACCGAAAGATTTGCACGGTCGTAAGCAAGCAAGCAAGCACGCAAGCAAGCAAGCATGCGAACTTAATATAAAGGATTTAAGAACAGAGCAACTGTGCACACATCTCTTGGTAAGTTATTCAAGAGACGAGAGAGGAAACACGTGCACCAAATGGAATAAACATCTACACCTGCAAAACATGAAGAACCAGTGGCATCTACATCTACAGGAGAATGTAGATCTTTTAAGCCATTCCATGTTTAGCGTAAATTCCGTAAAACGTGTTTGGAATCGACAGGAGTAAAATTAGACTTACAAACAAATCGACTTACGAACAGATCTCTGAAACCTAACCCGTTCGTACATAGAGGAGTCCCTGTATTAGGGAGCGAGGAGACAAGGGAGGAGATGAAGCAGCATGTTCAGAAAGCGGCTGCTAGGATGTTAACCAGACCACCTTCTTCGCATCGTTGGCCTCCCTGCACTGGCTTCCAGTTTTAACTTTGTATCCAGTTTAAAATCATATTGTTAACCTACAAAGCAGTGAATCACCTTGCCCCAGCCTACATCATTGACATGCTGCACCCATATGTCCCTTCAAGGTCCCTAAGATCTCGAGATGCAGATCTTCTCTGCATTTCCAGGTCGAGGCTTTGGTCTATGGGTGACCAAGATGTTTTCCTATATAGCCCCCAGGCTATGGAATGCTCTTCCACGATATATCAGGGATCTCTCTAGAGTCTGTGGACATTTTTTGGAAAATGCATCTTAAAACTTTTTATTTATTTAGAAAATGTTTTTGGTTTATATACATAATAATATATTTTTAATGCTGAGTGTCTGCTCCTGTTTCTGTGTGCTGTACGGCGCTTTGAGATCCTTGATAAAAAAAAAACGCGCTATATAAATGGAATTTCTATTATTAAAACGAATGGGGACCTGGGACACAGTGGCTCGGAGATGTTAACTTCCTCGCCTGGTATGCAAGAGGGGTCATGGGTTCGATCCCGACCCTTACGATGCCTGTTGTATATTTGAAGTTTGCATGTCTGTCTCTCTCTCCCGTGGTTGTGTGGATTTTTCTCTGGGTCCTCTTCTGGTTGTTCCCTCCACATTTAGAATCAACATTATGCATTTAGAGTATTTGGCTGCTGCTATACACTTCCACGTGATGATTGATCAGCCATATTCTTGGTTCGTTGAGCTATATAAGCTCCGTGGGCCTTACATCTGATAATAAATACAGTTTTTAGTTTCGTGTTTGTCTTGCTGAAACAGTCAAGCTCCCAAACCAGGACGACTCGTGCAGACTCCCTTCATGATTGGCCCAGTTAAACTGGAAGAAAAATGTAACGCATTCACTAGTAATGGTTAATATATCTAGTTTGCATCTGATTGGTTGTTCCTGTAATGTATTGAAGAAGCCGGCTCAGGTGACACTTTACTTTCACTTCCTGGATTTTATTCTGACCCTCCTAAAGCTTCACCTCATAATCAGGATCAGTATTTATACTGCAGAAGGAATCTGATGAGCTATAAAGCTCTTTTTTCAGAGATGTCCAGTAGGGGCGGTTCAGAAAGTTACAACAACAAACAATACAAAAACACTATAGCAGGGCAAAGCATCGGAAAGGTAAACAAATCACCCACACAAAATTAAACTCTTATTTGTAAATGTTGTGGGTTTACTCCCCAGCACACAACCAGTTAGTTCTGAACTAGTAACTAATTGACACGTTTTGTTTAGTGACAACACTTACTTATTGGGCATGTCGGGTGGTGGTGGCGGGTTTAACGACGCACATTTATATTTACGTGATCTAACCCAAAAACCCTCTTATGGATACACTTTTTTATTTTATCAGGTAAAGCCCACTGAGCTATTCAGAATTCGATGAGCTATAAACCTCTTTTTCACAGTTGTCCAGTAGGGGCACGGGGTCAGAAAGTTACAACAACAATATACACACACGATAGAAGTGAAAAGTACAAGAAAGGTAAACAAATAACTAATAAATATAAATTACCAGGCAAAGCCCACTGAGCTATTAGCTTCTTATTTGAGAAAAAAACTGTCCACAAACGATATCTCAACTAAGTGGCTTATCATTACATGGACATTTATAGCAGATAAATAACCTGAATAAGATGTGTGTGCATGGTTTCATGTGCAACGTCGTATCTAAATGATCAATGTTGGTGTGGTGAATCATTAAACTTGTAAACAATCTGGAACAATAATTGGCACGTAAAACATTTTGTGCACATGACAAATATTTGGGCTATTTAGGGTGGTAGAAGGTATTACGACAGATATTTGGCCAGATCATTACATAGCCGAATCAGAAACTGAGCAATGAATCAAGTATCACACTCAACGGCAAGGCGGAGGGGAAAGTCTTGCCCCCCCGCTTTGTGGACCAGAAGTGACTTTAAGAGAACTCAAAGGTAGCTTCATGGTGTCCACTTCCACTGGACATTCCCCAACACGAAAGGTTGAACCGTTCTGCAAGAGTTCTGAGTGGATTCTTTCTCTCGTGGTGTGACACCAACAGCACAATAAAGATAAATTGTGCAGAAGGGAAAAACAATTCAGGAATATAATAATAATGCATTTTTTATGTTATTGTTTATTTTGGCAGGTGAACTGTTTGTCAATGGGCAGCCTGGACTTCCGGTGAACTTTGGTCCATCTGGCATGCCATTAACAAGTGGGCAATGGTATGGCATCGTCATCAATGGTAAGATATCATCTCCAATCCAATTGCAACAAAGTAAGAATGTTCGTACATAGGAAGCCATGCATTTGCGATTTTTTTTATTAATTTGAAAAATAAATTTTTAAAAACTGGCTTGCGTATAAAAATATAGATTATTCTTGTATTTAGTTTGTTTCAGATTGATCTGGCAACGTGATGTCACTTCCGTTGTCGCAAGACAAGTTCGATAGTAATTTATAAGAAAGGTTTTTGGGTTAGATATCGTAAGTATAAATGTGTTGTAACCCTCCACCACAAGACACAGCCATTAAAGTTTGTCATGTAAACAAAACGTGCCAAAAAGTAGTAACTAGATGGTACTCACTAATTGGCACGTTTTGTTTACGTGATGGCTGGTGCTACACCCGATGAGTAGTGGTGACGGCGTATGACGCTAACAATACCCACTACACATATATTATCAGAGCATGTTTGTTTGCATGTTCACCACAGGTTAATTAAAACATGATTCATTGCAAAAAGTTTCTATTTGGTGTTTCAACATATTAACACCTGTTTATTGCAAGAAAATGTAAAATTTATACTTCTTTTTTCATACTTTGGTACTGTCCAAAAAGGTCCCATTTGGTAACGAATTTGTACCTTAATAATTGGCTGTGTCGGGTGGTGACGGGTTTAACGACACATTGAAAAATATGCGATCTAACCCAAACAAACCTCTATCATAGATAGTGAATACTGTATAAAATAAGCAATCGCTTAAAGATGTGTAATGATTTATATGTATAGGGCACTGGCTTAATTGTATCGGCAACTCAGAGCCTTACATCACATCTCAGCAAATGCATTGCTCTACTTAAATCTAGTCATGGGGAGACTCCCAACCAATAGAAGTTTTCCCTGTGCAGCACAAGGTGGACAGAGCTCAGACCTGCGAATATGAATACATTATATTACTAAAGGGGGGGGGGCGATGCCGCTATCTGCCTTTTCATAATTAAGCACTTTGTAAGAACATTATCGATTTATATTATTTGCCTGGGTTTTTTTTATACATTATTTTAAATTAACCATTTTTGTTTGCATCTTTGAATCCTCCAGCCGACGCTCCCAACACAAAGTCGACAATCAGGCACGCGGAGTTTGTGAGTTGTTCCATCTGCGTGACTGCCCAAAGCTCAAACGTGGACATTGACGAAGTAAGGATCCACAAAGCTGTAACCGGACTACAATTTGAAGACCCGAGTAATGTCGATCACACCGTCATAATTAACAACACCAGAGTGACAAATTCCAATGATGGAATCAAAATATCTGCTAGAAACGGGAATTTTCACCTGTCTTCTGTTTCGGTGCTTGACAACGCCTATGCCGGTGTTTATTTAACAAACATGGCGTTGATGTCAGTGGCTGAGTGTAATTTCAAACAAAATACATTCGGGATCTACTACTACGGGGATTCACCCTCAAGCTTGAATGTGATCAATTGCCAGATCAGCCAGCAAAGAAATTATGGAATGTACGTTGATGGATACGGAACCATTTCTCTCCTCGTCAAGAATTCATCGATCTCCGGCAATGCCAATGGCTTGGTCTTAAACATGAGAGGCAGTGGAATTACTGTGCTGGAGGACAACTTATTCACAAACAATAGCTTCTACGGGTTAAGCATATACAACGGAAACCATCTGTCACTTGTAAACAATGTCATTCAAAACAATGCAATTACAAGGGACCAAGCTTGTTCAATAACATCTTCAAGCTATATGTCGATAGACGGAAATCTTTTCATCGACAACAAGGGACAAATACAATTCGCCGGAGGACCATTTCCTGCGAATATAACCAACAACGTTTTTTGGGGAAACGATGTGAACCAGAGAAGTACGTTTTTACTATGTCAGCGATATAGCGCCTTTTGCGCATTGCTTGTCGTACCACGATCGTGTTCATCGAATTCAAATGAAGCGAACATCAAATTGTGACTTGCACTTGTTAGTATCGTCACAGTGCCTGTGACTGAATCACGCTGTGGTCGATATTGGTCAGTTAACGAAGGTAAGCGGGGTTGAGCCCTGGCTAGTGCTTGGATTAGAGACCGCCCATGTGGGTATAAGGTGGGCATCAGAGGGTAATGCTTTAGTTCATTCGTACGTTGGGCACACTGATAAGCTCCGGCCGTACAAAGACGAACACTATTCCTGTACCCAGGACTTGAACAAATAACTATTAATTTAGCTCTTAAAGCAGAAGTGGTGATAGTGGGTGGAGGGGGGGACCTCTCCACCTCAAAGTGACCTCGAATCACCACATCCTCAGTGTTTTTTCGCATTCTGCACCGACGCCAGATGCTCTTGCTCATCTCACGGTGGCGAAAAGTTAACTACCTTGTCTGGTATGCAGGAGGTCGAGGAGTTCGATCCCGACACTGACGCCTGCTGTATATTTGAAGTTTGCATCTCTCCCCGTTGTTTTTCCCTACACATTTACAAACAACATCAAACTTTTAGAGTAATTGGCTGGTGCTATAAATTTTCATATGATGTTGATGATAAGCCAATTCGTTAAGTTATAATTTGTGATTGCCAGGTCGCTTTTGAAAAAGAGCTACATAGCTCAGTGGGCCTTACATGGTAAAAGGAAAATAGTTTATAGTTGAGTAACCCGCACTGACCGGTACGGTGAAGTATAGTGAAACAAACGATGCAATATGGGGCGGCCCTCATCCAGCAATATATTGAAAATGGGACATATGAGATTAGGTTTTACCATTTTTTCTGGCAACAAAACAGGTGTTAAGATTACTCTTTGGTTCTTTCAGTAAAGTCACGTATAAGGATAAAATAATAAATTAAATAATAGCATACGACGTTTCGATTGCAACACAAGCAATCATCATCAGGTATAAATGAAATAGCAACAAAAATCTAACCAGAAAACTATAGACAGACATTGGTCCACACCAGAGACAGCTTTTTTGGAGCAACACAAGCGTCCATCATCAGGTGGGAAAGCACAGTCTGCTGCTGAGGCAGACTGATGACGGACGCTTGTGTTGTACCAGTTCACTGACTGCAAACGGGACTATTGTTGCTTCCTGAGCCCACAGACGTTCGTTCGTCACCAGCACCGCCGTGGAAGCCGCTAAAGCCGCCTCTCGATCCTGGCACAAATATTCCAGCGAGTGACAAAACTAGGCCAGCCAATCACCTGCTCGTGACGGAATGGGGTTCAACTGAGCCTCTATCGGAGGGTTATGCTCCCGACCATACATGAAAAAGAACGGCGAATACCTCGTGAATGCATACGGCGCCGAACCATATGCTGTCAAACTCCTGGTAATGTGCAAAACCCAGTCTGTCTGCGCAGTGTTCACCAAGTGGCATAACATTCCCGAGATTGTGCGGTTAAAGCGCTCAACCATGCCATCCATTTGCGGGTGGTACGGGGAAGTCCGCACCTTGACACAACATGTCACACACCTCCTGCAACAGCTTGGAGGAGAAGTTACGACCCTGATCTGTCAACAGCCGTTCAGGATTCCCCTTGTCCACCACAGTGCCATCTACAAAAGCATCAGTTATGAACGCCGCGGTCTGATCCTCTAACGGCCACGCGAAGCACCAGCAGATAAAACATTCCATGCCCACCAGTAGGTATTTATTTCCCTGAGGGATAACTGGAAAGGGCCCAAAAATATCCCCGGTTCGATGGTGCCGGCGTCACCTTGTCCCATGCTGCCATCTCTCCAGCCCCTGCGACCACCCATCATGCTTCCTCTCCGTTAGGCCTCACATGGGGCGCTGTAGGTGACAAGGGAACACTGGGCACCGAAACCCCCGCAGGTCAGCGAGTAGTGGCCAGCGACCTTGGCGTGGGTAAGGGTGATGATGGCGGTAATGATGGCGGTGATGATGGCATTGCCTCGGTGGAGAATGATGGAGGCGATGGAGGTGGAGAGATATATGGCTTAAGGTGGGTGGAGTGCACAAATCATCATCGCTTACTCAGTTGGACCTGGACGCCCAGAGGTCGGAGTCCTTTCATGACCTTGACCGGCCCTTTCTAGGGTCTGTGGAGTTTTGGTCAGTGGCCGAACGGCACCTGAGGACAGCATAGCCATACCTGGTCCCCGACTTTAAAGGACTTGGCTGTCACTGTCCTCTCCCGTATCTGTACGTTGCTCCCTTGGCTGTCGGCCGCTTGGCGGGCCTCCCTCAAATTAATTAGGGAGGCCTTTATTGCCTTTGGCCATGTGTCAGCTCTCATAGGAATGTCCATCAGCTGCACCTAAATAGGCGGAAAGGGGTCTCATCCCTATATCAGGAAATACGGCAAGAACCCTGTCGCTGAATGCGGGGCCACCCTGTATGCCGCTTAGACCGATGGGATGTGAAGGTCCCAATTGGAGTGGTTCTTGTCCACCACTTGGGGCAGCATGGCCCCTAGGAGATGGTAAAGCCACTCCACCATGCCATCGGTCTGGAGATGATGCGGAGATGTTCGGACCTTCTTAGTGCCCTGGATAGAGTAGACGTCCTTTAGCAGCTGTGAGGAGAAATTCCTGCCTTGATTCGTGAGCAACCACTCTGGCACCCCCTTATCAAGAACTCGACAAAGGCATCAGCAATAGTCTGTGCTGTTTGGTCTGGGAGGGCCCATGCCATCGGCCACCTCGTGCAGTACTCGACTCCAACCAATAGGTTTTTAGTTCCCCATGGCGTGACCGGCAACGGTCCCAGGATGTTCAACGTGACCAATCCGTTGACCCTGGTCACCGTGATGGGCTACAGGGGCGCCCGGGTTACCCGGGATGGTGGCTTCTGCCGCGCGCATTCGACGCAGGATGCGACCCATCAGTGCACGTCAGTGGTCATGCCTGGCCAGAAGCACCAACCCTGTAATGTGGACAGTGTCTTCCGCCCAGCCAGGTGTAGCAGCTGGCAGCAGTGCATGTCCATGACCAATTTGTGACACGGTGACTCCAGAACCACCAGGCATCGCTGGAGTCCCGCCGGGTCCAACCACATGAGGAAGTCCTCCCATACGACATGCTCCTTCCCCCTTTCCTTCGCTGAGGCATGTAGTGCTCGCAGGAGGGCCTCCTCTTGCTGTAGACGTCTCGCATTGTCCAAGGTTATCCCCAGGTCATGGTCGGTCAGCTGGACCTCAACCTGTGCGCCCTCTGCTGTGTGTACGGGAGTGATGACCATTCCCTCCAACATCGCCTCCTTGCAGCGTGCCACGCCTGTGGTGCATTCACAAGGGCCCTGGGGCACCAGCTGGGACAATGCGTCCGCATTAGCGAAGCACCACCTGGCACCTGTACTCTTGCAGGCGCTCTATCCACCTGGTCAGCTGGCCTGAAGTCTGGTCGATGCGGAGCAAATACTGCAAAGCTGTGGGTTTAGTGCGGTCCATACATTTGCGACCATACAGGTAGGGTCTAAATTGTTGCATGAAGTGGATGACCACCAGGAGCTCCCTATGTGTTATGCAGTATTGCTGCTCCCCTGGTGACAGCACATGACTGCATAGACCTGTCGCAACCGGGCCAAGTGTTCCTCAAATGTGCAATAAAAACGATAACGTCATCTAAATAGGTAAGCAATGGCACCCTACTACCGACAGCACCGCAGACACAATGAGTGGCGATTCCGTCCGGGATGTGACAAGTGGTGTCAGGTAGTGCAACCGCACCAGGATCTGAGCACCCAGTGGGATACGGACCGTGGTTTGCACCAGCCTGAACCTCTGGGATAGCCCTTCCCCCCCTCCGTCCAGACGCAAAAAATACAATCTCTCACCCGACAGAGTTTCCATACAGCCTTCCTCCATCAGGATGCGTAGAGGCATGCGACCTAAGAAATCCGTGTCCAGAAAACAGGGCATTGACAATATACTGGAGTCCAGTACCGGTCCCCGCATCTCCAGCTTCCCGATGCGGACCGGCACTACCACTTGCCCCATGATTTCCATGCTTCCCCCATTGCGGCTCTGTATCTAGCCTTAACTGGCTCTTAGATGACGCTGTCCGTCTGGCAATAGGTCGTATATGCACAGAGATAGGATGGTGGCCAATGTACCTGTGTCGACCAGTACACGCAGGCTAACCCCCGCAACTAACGCCACTTTGTGACCGGGTCCGACCATAGGGCCGGACCGGCTACGGCAATGAGTGACACGCCCTCCATCCTATGAGATGCGTGAAGAGGTGAGCATGAGGTGAATGATTCCGGCCAGGTGTCTGAGGTGTTCGCACTCGCCTGAGGAGGAGTGGCCGCTGGGAAGACCCTATGGTCTTTTTATGATCGTTCCTGTTGCCACCATCCTGCTGTGGCACCCGCGAGCGATGTGCTTCTCGCAACCGTAGCGATGGCAGATGTTCTAGTCCCCATGTGAGAGCATCGCCCCCACCTCCCTAGGTGCCCAATGTCGACGTTGTTGCTCGGCCCCCCTGGGCATCCTCGTAGTTCGTTGCAGGGCCGCCACCACTTCTCATTCATGAGCTTCTGCCAGCTGCGCATGCCTCGCAATTGGTTCCAGTATTTCAGCCGCTTGGGATCCCGCGACGTCGTTAAACTGTGCCATGGCGAATAGACGCTCCGCCACCAGCACGTCCAAGACAGCCTCATCTAACTGTGAAAACGCCACTTCCGCCAGCGTCAATAGTTCGGTTCTAAATACCAGGAGCGACTCGGACGCATCCCGCTGCCAGTTGTTGAACTTTTGACGAGCCCCGGATGGAGGATGAAATACTTTCACCATCTTTTTGAAGACCGCTTGCAGGGATCTTCTCTTTACGAGTGGGATCCGGCAAAAAACACTGCCAGCGCCGAGTCGTCCAGGGTGGTGGGTAGTGCCCCCAGCACCCCCTCCTCCGTGCATCTCCGTGCCTGGCTCGTGGCCTCAAATTGGCACACAAAGGCACGCCATTCTCCTGTCTTTGACGAGAATTTCTCCACCGGGCTCAACTGATGGCTCCACCCCCATCCACTTTCTTCGGGTCGTTCTGTTGGGTACGCGGCTCAGTTCCTGGCCTTGTCTCTCTCTGCTGCCCCCTGCTCACTTGGCTGCTACGCTGTTGGCAGGGTCGCGGGAGACGGGACAGCACTTGCTCCCTGCTCCCACGCTGAATGCACCATTGGCGGCGTCGATGGAGGTTCGCCTGCCGCTGGCTGCTGGGATAGTCCAGGGCTTTTTCCGCCTTGCCGGGGATGTGGCCACCGCGATTTCCCCCAGTCGTTCCACCTCAGGCCCCAGCTTGTGAAGCAGCAATGTCACTGCGTCCAGTAGTAGATCCATCCTCCGATCCCTGGAAGATGGTCTACTGCGGCGGCGATGAAACTGCTCCACCAAGTTGGTGGATGAAGACGCCCATCTCGGTCGACCAGCTGCTTCGGTTCCTGTCGAGGAGCCAGGAGATGAGTCCCGACTCGGCGGGTCCATCTCGGGGCAGCGCTTGTCTTGGGCGCCTAGAGGGTCTTCGGCTTGAGTCTCCCTTCGTAGGAGGTTGCGTCGACTAAGTCGAGACATTCCACCAATACCACCAGATGAAGAGGAGACTTGAGCTGATTAAGAAGGATCTTTATTTTCAGCACCAACTCACACCACACTTCCACTCGTCATCAAAATCAAAAACCAACCCCGAACCCTCCAACTCCATTCCCTTTAATAGCCAGTCTCCCCCCTTTTCCACCAATCTTCTTCCCAGGTTTTCCTGCCCTTTTATAATCCTTCTCGCACCAATCCAATCAGAGTGTTCTCCACTCAATAATCGGATTGTGTGTCATGCACGGCAGTGCTCCCGTGACTAATGCCCATTAACCCGTGGTTACATGGTGTTTGTGTGTGAGGATGTCCCTAAAATCATCTACAATTGTAACGTGGATGTTGCCGTGGTGTAATGATTGCCATAACTGCAGGAGTGCTAGTTATATTCGACCTCCTGGCTTCGCAGTTGAAACAACGGGCAAGCTTTATAAATGGGTACCCCACCGTTGATTGGCAAGTTTGCGTGTGGTGGGGTAAAGTGTGGGCACTCCCATATCTTCCGAGTTGTCTGGGCAGAACGCAAGAGCAAGAAAAAATACTCCGTCGAGCAATGGGTTCTCCACAGGGGTATGAGGCGGACCCATGTGGGTAACGTGGCAATGTCCCAGGGGGTAACGTACAGAGGTGATTTATACATTTGTGAAAATTATATCGTATGTGATGGTCATTACATACTATACACTAGACTATACACTACTATACACTACAAAAATCAATAGACTACTATACAATACAGTACACTGTGTACTCTCACTATACACTACACTACTATATACTACACAATACACTACTATACACGAGACTATACATTCACTACTATACACTAGACCACTATAAACTACACTATACAATACACGAGTGGTTCTCAACCGGCGGTACGAGGTGGACCCCTGGGGGTATGTTGCAATGTCTCAGGGAGTAACGTGATGAGGTAATTTATAAATGTGTGAAATTATATCACACATGGAAGGCATTGGTGCATAATCACGTTGTATAAATCTGCCAATATAAAATAACGACGATAACATATAAAATCCATATGGTAACCTAGAACGATGTAAAATACGTTTCTAAACCGACTGATCGCAAACAATGCGGGTTTACAAAAGTAACCAGCGAGCACGAACAATTTACATCGCACGTGCAGAGCGTCCGTTGAGTTTAGTTTGTATGCGCTTGCAGTTACTAGCACCTAATCACAAAATGGACAATTGGTGAAAATATTGACATTCACTATTCATGAAATATATTTCTCAACCGCGTTAGGTCAGGCAAGGGGGGGAGGGTTACTCAGTGAAACTAAATTCAACACAGGGGTAGTACAGTAATAGCCATAAAACGGTTGAGAACCAATGACCTGACAATACGGAGTGAATTATTCAAAGGGCTCCCAAAACCTCGGAGATTCAAAGTAGTCGGAAAAAGGCCCGCCATAGCATCCCAGCATTGCCAGATAAAACGGTTTTATTTAACCAGGTGTTAAGGTTCACTGAGCTGTGTAGCTGTTTTTTCAGAAGCGACCCTGGCTATCACAAAGGACAGCTCAACGAATTGGCGGCTCATCATCACCATCATCGCCGCGTGGACATTTATAGCAACAGCCAAATACTCCCAACGAGTGGTGACGATTTCAAATGTGGAGTGAAAAAACTCGGTTGAAACAAAACTTTCAACGAAAGGGGTATTATCTTGACTTAAAGCTTTCGTGAGTGCAGAAATTAATATTCTTTTGGTCTTTCGGTAAAGTCACGTAGATAGGTTCAAAGAAAATAATTGTTTACACTATGGGGACCTCATTTGCCAGTAAAAATATGATAATTGGTTCTTTACCCTTCTATCTGGCAACAAAACTGACACCTTTTTACAAGGAGTCATGTTTGCATAGACCACAATACCTGCAGTCATAAATACAAACAAAAGACATAACTCTGATAATGTGCACTGTAGGACAGTGCACATAACTCTGATAATGTGCCCTGTAGGACAGTGCACATTATCAGAGTTATGTCTTTTGTTTGTATTTATGACTGCAGGTATTGTGGTCTATGCAAACATGACTCCTTGTAAAAAGGTGTCAGTTTTGTTGCCAGATAGAAGGGTAAAGAACCAATTATCAAAATAATTGTTATTTTTAGTTTATTTCTTTGAACCAATCTAAGTGACTTTACCGAAAGACCCAAAGAATATGAAAGGGGTATACTCAGCAGTAGCCACAAAACGGCTGAGACCTACTGCTGTAGAGGGAGGCTCTCTGCAGCTGTCCGCGTGTGGGTGTTGCGGTTCTGCGAGCTGGCAAGCGGGGGCCATGCACAGTCAACATCGCCTTTGACGTCTGTTGTTCCAGGCGAAGCCGCGGTGGCGATAGACCTCCCCGCATTCTTCGTCAACAACACCATCACTGACAATTCCGCTCCACTCACCGCAGTTACCGTCAGCTCCTATGCATCCACAGTCGCCTTCAACGTCTTCAGCAACCCCAGTTGCCCCTATGAAATGAAGTGCTCCGCACTTTACGAAATCGGAGCCGAGGTGAATGCCCGGCACAACTACTGGGGTGTGCCCGAGGAGCTGCGGGCAAGAGCCAGGATCCTGGACTTTTCCAACGACCTGGCCCTCGGCGTGGTGGAGATGTTACCGTTGTTCCAAGACCCGGGCCTTTCTGTCCATATTGGAAGCCCCGGCGAGACGGTGTTCACCGGGAACTTCACGGGAGGTGCAATACGAAACGGCTCGCTGAGTCTGCCAAGGTACACGGCAGTTACTTTGGATCGCTTTGCAAAAAAGGATTAACCTTGTTATAATAAAAATTAGTCTTCTAAAGAAAAAAGAGGGAAAAATCTGAACACCACCTGGCATCCATAAGGGTTTTTTTCGGTTACATCGCGTAAATATAAATGTGTTGTAAAACCGGCCACCACCACCCGACACAGACAATTAGTAAAGGTTTGTCACTTTAAAAAAAACGTGCCAATTAGTTACTAGTTCAACCCACTCCAGCGTTTACAATCATAGTGTAGTATATAGTGCACTGTATAGTGTAGTATACTAGTTCAGCACTCACCGGTTGTGTGTTGGAGAGTAAACCCACGACTACATCTACAACTCGAGTACCGTGACGTTTCGACGGTAATTAATTACAACAACCAGCATCATGAGGCGATAGCTAAAGTTGGTTGATCTACAAGTTGTGAGTGGTGGGGGTGTGGTGTGGGTAGACCCACCTTTTCCAACACGTCAGGCCAGTGTGGAAGAGTAGGCCAAATACACTCGACAGGAGCACTGCACCGTACCATCTCATGCAGCCCTTATCACCAACAGTGGCGTGAGCAAGTAATTGTAAGTAATTATCTCCGAGTAGAGTGAATTATATTTAATTGAGCATGTATAAACATTTCCAGTCTGAAAAGTTTCCCCCTTTTTATGGCAACAAAACAGGTGTTAAGATGTTAAAACACCAAAATTAAAATACTGTTTTGTTGCCAAAAAAAGGGGAAAACCTATTCTCATATTTTGGTACTGGAAAAGGATTTCCAGTCTGTTTAGGACAAGGTAATGCAGTGTCATACGTAAAAAATGTGCAACAGTGAACCTGCAGTTTTGAAGTTGATTTTTACCATAATCAAGTGTGTCTTTTTTTTCAGGGGCAATTACTTTATTACTAGCAACATATTGGTGAAACCTGCAAGTGTATTGTCGTTATCAAGTGGAGCTTCACTAACCTTCATGGGTAGAACTGGCATGCGCATTGAAGGTGTGTTGTATCTTTTTCCTTTGGTCTATATGTATTCTTTATTGGATAGGCGTGGTTGTCATCCTGCTTTGCCCTGGACTTAAAAGTGTGCGTTCCCAACCTTACTGACACAATTGCTGTAACGTAAAATTCCCCGTAATTTAAACCATCAGAGATGCAGGTATTTGGGTGCCACCGTGGCTCGGAGATGTTAACTTCCTTGCCTGCTATGCAGAAGGTCGTGGATTCAATACTAACTCTGGCACCTGCTGCTGTCTCTTTCTCCATGGTGGTTGCATGGATTTTTCTCCGAGTCCTCCGTTTTTTCCCTCATTTATAAGCAACATCACCATGCATTCTGGAGCATTTGGCTGCAATACATTTCCACACGACAATGATGATGATATCAACCACATCGTTGAGCTGCTATCAATCGTGATAGCCAGGGTTGCTTCTGAAAAAGAGCTACTACACAGCTCAGTGGTGGAGCCTTACACTTAATAAAATTAAATTGTTTATTGATTATTATTTTGGAAGATTGGCACTCTCGCCTGGAGAACCAAGGACACCTGGCTGGAACAAAAATAATTTAGTTAAATTTGCATTCACATATGGAGATGGCTCTCCTTGTGTGCCCTAGCAATTTATAAAGCTCTCAACTTGTCATATCTAATGAATTAATTAATAATCAATTAATTTATGTGTGGCTACTCTATTCTGCAAAATGTATGATATTTCAATTATATGTAAAATGTAATGAAAATGTGAAGGAATCAATGAGAGAAGGTTGTGAGAATAAATACCTTACTCTAATATAGATCGAAGAGAAATGGAGAAGTGACTGAGTAAGTAGAGTGAATCATTGAGCGAGTCAATGGAGTGAATCAGTGAGTGAGTGGAGTGAATCAGTGAGTGCTGGATCATCAGTCAATGCTGACAAATCTACATTAACTTCTCTCTTAGGGAAGCTGATCATTGGAAGCCCAGAAGAAGAGGAATTTTCAAAGTTGTCTGCTGATTCAGTTCCGTGGCATGGAATCATTTGCAATAACTGTGAAGGTGATTCTTTCATGCTTTACAAACAACAACAAAAACCCCTGAACCAATAACATATATTGATGTTGCATACAATCTAATTTATACCTAATTCATTGTTAACACACTGATTTCGTTTTTACCTGTGATTCTGGAGTGTGTTACGATAAAATCGAATACCTAAATAGATTTGATTTGGGCTTTTGTGACTGCAGGGATAACTTTTTGGTTCTTTCGGTAAAGTCACGTAGAAAGAAAATTAAATAATAGAATACGACGTTTCGATTGCAACACAAGCAATCGTCATCAGGTACAAATGAAAGAGAAAAAAACTTAGTAAACTTAGAAATATAATGAAATACAACACAGAGAGTCGGCTAACATAACAGTCAACACCCTACTTGGTTGATTACGTTCTTCTAAAGAGTGCTAAATTTGATAGAGAGACAAACCACAGACACGGAGACAAATAGACAGACACATAAGCAGAGAGGCAACACAGAGACACAGAGAGAGAGAGATGATTATTGTTTGTGTTGCAATCGAAACGTCGTAATCTATTATTTAATTACCAGTATTAACTACAGTACGTCATCCTTTAGAGTGTACGGTGCTAAAGTCCTTCCAATTGAACAAATCACAAATTACCAATTCAAAGCCAAGCTTAAAAATTATAACATTTAAATAAAATGTGGGTCCTTTACCTGTAAAATGCAGCAGCATGTATGTCACACACAGCAATTTTCAACAGAATCGCCATTAATCATGTGACTGGTGTCAGGTCAGGTTACTCAATAACCCTGCCAGCCACCTACAGGCCTGACTCAGTATCGCATGCTGGTGTACACACTGCATTTATGTACTTTACAGCACATAAGGACCTTCACAAATCCACACTTTACTCCATTGCTGCACGAGGAAATCATTAAAAGAGTGATCAATTCCTAATGTGCCACAATTCATTGAAATTATTTTTTTAGCAAAAACGACTCCACTAAATAAGGCATCGCAGTACTTTAAAGCATGAATTAAACGAAGTTAGTTCTACTTATGAAATCAGGACACATATATACAAATATAAAAATGAGGGGGCATACTCAAGGAAAATCTAAAAGGAAAAAAAATAGTCTTGCAGAGTTTCCTGAACTGTCCGGTGCTCAAAGCCAATCTGAGGTCCGGTGGAAGAGACTTAGATCTACCACACTGAATATAATATAAAATCTAGGCTGAGCCATCAGGGCCGGGACTGAGGACCAAGGCCATGTTTAGCTTTGTAAATCATTACAGCTAACTTAAATTGCAGGTGATAGCTGAATTGTAGCCAATGCACATCACGAGGCAGCTCGGTATACAAAGGATCTCTGTAATCCAAACATGTTGACACAAAAGCATGAACCAGTGTATCAAGACCATTAGCGGATAAGGGGGGGTCGCAACCCTCGGATCACTTTAAGGTGATTAAACACCACTTAGGCCACAGCTGCAACCTCAGGACGCATGGTTAAGCTACAATTGAATGGCACAACTAGGTTCTACACCACTGTTACAGAGAGAGTGCATACTCCATTAATTAATGGAGGATCAAGCTCCCCCAGACCCATCCTCAGCCAACTCTCTGACCCTACAATCATTGGCTCTGTCTTGGTAGGATTCAGCCTTAACCAGTTCTGCTGCATCCATGCAGCTACCTCTGCCAGACATTCTGTTAAGCAGGTGAAAGCTGCATCTGGGTCACCTGAGAAGGAGACGTATCTGGGTGTCATCGGCGTACTGATGGCACTGTAAACCGTGCCTCCAGATGATAGCTCCCAGCGGCCTAATATAGACATTGAATAAAAGGTGAGATAAGACTGACCCCTGAGGGATACCGTGAAGGGAGGGTTCAGCAAACTACCTGCTAGGTCTTGCCCTGCAGAAAAGATCCAATCCACTGTATGTCAGTGCCTCTGACTCCTGCCAGGTCCCGTAGGCACCACAACAAAACCCCATGATGAATTGTTTCAAAGGCCGCTGAGGTCCAACATAACAAGGGCTGAAATACAGCCCATGTCGTTTGCCATGAGGAGATTGTCTACCATTTAAACTAAGACGGACTCAGTTCCATGATGGGCCCTGAAGCTTCATTGAGTGATGTCAAAAAGCACTCAGCCTCAAGATAGACCCCAACTGGGAGGAGACCACCCTTTTTATAATCTTCCCTATAAAAGGAAAATTGGAGATGGGGCAATGGTTAACCAGGATATCGACATCCAGTCCTGTTTTCTTTAGAAATGGTCACACTAAAGCCCTTTACAGGGGTTCCGGGAACATTTCTTCTGATAGGGAAAAGTTGACCAATTCGGTCACCTTCGGCATCAGTGGCTCAAAGGCCTCCTTAACAAGCCAAGAGGGACAGGCATCTAAATTGAGGTAGTACATTTCATCCCCACAATAGTCTGGACAAGGTCTATGGGCAGAACGGGTAAAAAAACCTCAAAGACGAGAGAAGCCCTGGGGTCCATCCAAGATAAGATCTGGACAAATTTCTGGGCAGATACCCTCTCTAATGTGATCGATCTGAATAACAAAAAACTTGGCAGCGCTCTTCAGAAGAATACAAACCTTTATGGACGTAATCTCGGTGAATCAACCTGTTGACCATCCTGAACAGCTCAGCAGGGTGGTTCCTTAGCGAGTCAATCCTCATGGCGATGTACTTTTTTTTGCCATGAAAATAGCTCGTGTGTAAGCCCATTGACAGAGTTGTTCGATCATCATCGAGCTGAGATCTGCACCAGCATCGACCCATTTTCTTAAGTTGGACTTTCAGGGTCCTGAGGTCTCTGGAATAGCAGGGGGTGGTCGTGGTAACTTGAGCATGAAGATGGCATCAAGAAGCAAGTTCATCAACAGCAGATTGTAGCACTAAATAATACTTATCAACCCTTTGATTGATGGCACCACTGTCGCAATAAGAGGAAATATGGGCCAATAAGGTGTCATGAAATCCAGAAGGGGTCATTATCCTTTTAGGCCGAAACCAGCCTCCCTGAAGTCCTCCAGACCGTCAGAGAGGGGTGGGGAGACCCTTTATCTCAGAATAAATCACCCTGTTATCACTGCATAGTCCCAACGAAATGTTAATGGCCCCAACTAAGACACCTTCGGCGAATACTAGGTCGATCATGTAGCCGTGATTATGAGTTGGGCCCTGATTGAACTGAGCAAATCCCACGGAATCAATGGTATCAAAAGGGTATGTAGCCAAACTGTCAAATGGGTCATCCATTCATGTATTGAAATCTCCCAGCACAATTGTACGAGGGAATTCCAGCACTTGACACAACCGCCTTGGTGTTCATAAGCATAAAATTAAGTACAAGCTCCTCCTTACTAATAATACCTCTGTTTTGCAGCTCAATGGAAAATTGGTTTGGTATATCCAGGTAGCAGCAGCTCAGGCAGATAAAGGGAGCAGCAGCTCAGGCAGATAAAGGAAGCAGCAGCTCGGGCAAATCCAGGGAGCAGCAGCCCGGGCCGGCCCAGGGAGCAGCAGCTCAGGCAGGCTGCAATGTGAAACGATTTCAGTGAGGGCTTAGCTGCTCCGTGATTCATCTAAAAATAACTACTCTATAGTATAAAACTCGAAAACTATAAGGCGACTTTCAAACAATAATAAATGTATCATTAAGTAGAGAATCGTGATCTCGTCAAACTGATGCTGTAATTATTAACCATCAATGTGATGTTTCTTTAGTAATCCCTGTGATTGGGTTGAAACCATCAAACCTACTATACACTTGAGAACAACGTTTCAAATTGCCGGTTGGAATAATTTATAGCTACTCAAAATGCAATGGAGTTTTTTTTGCCTCAACAAGCATTGTAATAATAAAAATAATCATCACGTGTGACTGGAACATGGATTTGAATTCCCAAGATGTCAGTGGTGTCAGCTTCAGCGCTCTGGCCTCTGTGTGTGTCGGTGGTGGTTGTGACGCTTTGACACTTTACATAGCCTGGAAATTCACACATGCTAATGGAATCAATAAAATGCCACCCTCTGTTGCAAAGACATGCAACTACTGTACTGTAGGGGCAATCACATGGATTTTGGATTAACCGGAGCAACACATCATGGGACCTCCTATGCCTGTGTAGTGGGTTAGAATTAGGTGCACACACACACAGCTTGGAGGCAACACTATTTATTAAACGGTAAGTAATATAACACTGTACATGAGGTGGTGACCACCTTCCTCAACTCACTAACACTCTGGAACACGACACAGCGTGGACCAGGCAGCCTGTTGGCAGCCTGTTGGCTGCCTGGTCCAGGACGACGACCCGGGACTTGAGGACCGATGATGTCGTCTTCACTTCGGAGTTCAACAGCCCCCGCTCTGCATCCACACCCCGCTTATATTTGGTCTGGCGTGACCGGCTCCGCCCAGGCGTGGCCGGCTCTGCCCAAGCCACGCCTCCCTGTCCAGGCCACGCCTCCCTTCCCCCACCTCACGGGAAGGTCTGGGTCCCTCCACCACGTGACCTCCCAGGCACCCCTTTGGGGCCCCCAGCCCTCGTACGGGCCGACACAGTAGTGACGTCCTATGTCACTACACCTGTGTAATATGAGGATGCATCTGGGGGTAACTGGGCGATGGTGATAGGCTCTGCCGGCCTCAGCCCGCAGCCAATGGGACGTCGAGCCAAGAGCGTAGCCCTGGGGCTGTATGGCAACATCGAGAAGGTTCCATGGGGGAGGCTTATGATTGGCTGCGTGGCATCACGTGAGCCAGGTGATAGAGAGAGACAGTTCGGGGTCAGTGTGAAGAGCTTGAAGGAGAGACTACGTCTTGTGCCTTCAGCATGGCAGCGGCCACGTGGCAGGCCGTAGGCTGTCTCCCGAACGCCGTTAGCCAGCGGTGTGAGGGGGCGAGGGAAGCGAGCGAACGCCACGCTCGGAAGGAAATAATGGGAGTAACACGCAAAGGAACCCAGTGTGAGAGAGAGCTGTGAACGGGGAAAAGAAATGAAAAAAGACAAGAAAAGAGAATACGATATCGTCCGGAGTAGGTTTATTACACCTGTACCAAAATATAAGAATAGGTTTTTCCCCTATTATATTTTGGTACTGGTAATGTAGATGCTCACCCAGAGCTCTCATAACTCTGATAGTGCATTGTCTTTGAGTTCTTCGCCTTTTGGCGTCCTCTGGTCGAACACTGTTTGAGACGAGGCTCAAAATAAAGCTGTCTCTGGTGTGGACCAATCAGTTTCAAGGACTACATATATTATCAGAGTGTTTTTGTATAGATTTTGACCTCAAGTATTGTTATTTCAGACATGATTCCTTTAAAAAGGTTTCAGTTTTGCCAGAAAAAAGGGGAAAACCTATTATTATACAGGGCAACACATTTATTAGGTTTAAGCACTTAACTTTTTATAAACCTTCCCAAGTATAACAATGTATAACTGTTTTAAGAATTAATAAATTTGGGCTTTTTCAAAATCTCAGTTGCGTATAGTTAATCCGCAAATCGGATAAACCGCATGCAGATAATCGAGAGTCTATGACGTTGCCAAAGACATGTGCGCATTAGAGAGCACTGCAGGATCCACGCATTTGCGTAATTATGTTTCTTCACACCCTCGTCTTTCCAGAAATGACACTCCAGCAGGTGGAAATTACCAATTTCGAGATGTTCCAAGTTTCGGGCACGAGCATATCTATGACAAACGTGAAGGTGAAGGATTCCAGAAGCGGCTTAACGTTTTTGCCCTCACAAAAGTACCAAGTCATGCATTTGACATTTGAAAACTGCACGTTTTCTGGGATTTTAAGCGATGCCATCAACATGAATATGCAGAATTCTTATTTTCTATTGAATATTTCAAAGTCGACGTTCACAGACTTTGGAAGGAGCGCCATTGTCATAAATAATGCAGAAGACTTCACAATTGAGGTAATTTATTTTGTAGTTTACACTTCACTTCGCGGCACGTTTTGTGAATTATTCGTGATTTTCTTTTATCAATGTTTCTGAAATTGTTACTAGACAGTAGTGGGGGCAGTGGTTTGTGTAAAAATAATTTATCTTCATTTTATTTTTCACATGGAAAGATAACTACAGTCGATCATGGATTACCCAGCAACATCGGGGGGGGGGGAGCACCAGATTTTCTAAACCACCGGATAATCACATCATCATTATTTATAATACCTTATTTTTGCACTCATTCATGATATTGTTTGTAGGTGTTGTGTGGGTTTTTTGTGTTTTAAATGTATTAACTATGTAAAATTGGCATAAATATAAATACAAATTGATAAATATGCTGTAAAAAGTTACTGTTTATTGTACCATACTTACCACTCTAATCTTAAAGACTGCATCATGGGGTGATGAATGCACGTAAGGTATTTTAATTATTTAAGTTCAACATAGTGTATAATGGACCGTGTATACTATTAGAAACTGAAATCAAGCATAGCTACTTGTTTTGTTACACACTCGTGCCAATTGCCATTTGGAGTGGTTTCGCTGAAATTGCCTGGAACCGCTAGATGTTTGAGCCAGCCAGATAATCGCGTGCTGGATAATCGATGATGAACTGTATCTATATATAAATTATCTGTGTATCTATTTTGTTAGCTTGATTTTTCTCCACAATAACGCTAAACGATTGTGTTGCTGTATATTGAACACTTTTTATCGTTGTTAAACTATGACCTCTATCTTAAAGAGAGAGGGTTCCTTGGCCTATAGTATTTGGCAGGCAACCAGCCACGATTCAAACAAAGCTGACCCTGCTGATGAGATACTGCATGTTGAAACTGGTATCGAGTTTGCTTGAACTGATTCAATGCTGCTGAAATTATGCACTCCCAGAAGCCTGCAGGAGGGGGGTTTAAAGAATTGTGTAAACAATAATTTATGGGTTTTTTTACGTAGAGAACCAGATACAGTAGAACCCCTCAACGCCCACCCCTGTTAACGATTAATTGCTTAACGACGGACCTCCATAGAGCCCAATGTGTAGTGTATAGTAGTGTAGTATATAGTGAAGTGTATAGTTGTGTGTAGAATAGTGTATAGTGTACTGTATAGAAGTCTAAATAGTAATGTATAGCAGTGTAATGACGAATCGTTTGGTCGACCTCTATAGAGCCTAATATGTAGTGTATAGTGTAGTGTATAGTGTAGTATATAGTGTAGTGTATAGCAGTATATAGTAGAAGCCTTCTTAGCGACCACCCCTATTAATGACTAATCGCTTCACGATGGGCCTCCATAGAGCCCAATGTGTTTGCTTACCGACCATTGCCCTTTTAACGACAGGCTTTTGTAGGCACAGTAAACATAAATGAATAAATTGACCAACCGTGTTCTTTTAATATGATGTGTTTATAATGGTGTTAGCATCTTTATGCATTAATATCCATTATTTAAATATTATAAAGTATGTTTTTTTGGGTGAAAAAGGCTAAGTTTTGATGCTATCGGAATGAAATAAGCCTTTAACTATACTCGCTTAATGACCAAATCACTTATAGACCGGTTTCGTGGAACCAATAACTGTCGTTAAGAGGGGGTTCTATTGTATATGAAGAATACAAATAGTCCACTTGTCTGTTTTAGTTACATTACCCATGATAACTCTATTATTTTGTGCACTGTGAATTAAACTTTAGTGTAACATTGCATTCGTATTAGAGACTTACCCAATTTGAAACTGGACAAATTTATCGAATAGTTGGCCAAAATTTGGAGGTACAAACTGGAACAAATAGATTTAGGAAATCTGCCATACAGCGCTACGTAACCCATGCGTTTGTTATACTTTGTATCAACCTTTACAGATCTCATCGAGCTATTTCATCGCAGAGTCGAGCAGTTACGCCCTTTCCTTAAATTCCTACAAATGGAATACAATTTCCAATTGTCGCATTGTGGATTCGGTGTTTGTCGGAGGGCTCTACGGCGTGTACATTTCGATTACTCAAAGTGACCTCGAAGTCAGCGGCAATCTCATTAGGGGCTTCACCCAAAGCGCCCTGAGCATAAGCGACAGTGGCGCACACTCCTACATTCACGTTCATGGCAACACGTTCGAGCATAACCACGGAGATTTCGTGATACAGATGTCCGCAGATCACGAGGAAAACTACACATTTTATCACAACGACCTCACCAACAATTCGGCGACGACATCGCTGGTCGTGCACGGGGCGTATCCCACTCTGCACTACAACTACTTCGGAAACCCCGAGGCTACGTTTGAGATGTCGGCGCCCAACGTTAATTCTCAGCGGTACGTGGACGCAACTCTGAACTGGTGGGGCCAAGTGTCGGATCAAAGCGTCGCTACGCGGATCAACGATGTTCACAAGGACGAGAGCAGTGCGGAAGTGGTGTTCTTTCCCTTCCTAGTATCGAGAAACGCCAGTGACTTGAGTCGAAGGAAGGAGACAATATTCCTTGAAGCCGGCGTCCTGGGAGGCGTGGTTAAAAACCGCACGGTCATTCCATACGTCGACGGTGGGTACGAGGTGATCAGAGACATCACCGTGGAAGCGTCGGCGACGCTGACCCTAGAGCCCGGAGTTCAATTGAGGTTTCGCAAATCGGTGCTCATGGAAGTTAAAGGTAAAGGGGCAGTAAGGATAGCATGACATATTTGTTTGTTGGTGTTGTTATGCACGAATGATAACTACCGGATTAATAATGGCCGAAAGCGGGATGCTGCCAACGTGTGGACTGAAAAGGCTGGCAACACCAGACTTTGCGACGCAGAGTTTTCTCGTTAAATTAGTTCTACTACTGGCACACCTGTGTACACCCAGCACTATAAAGAGTACACCGCAATTGGACTGATGGAGCAGGTCACGTGCGCTGGGCTAATGTCTGTGTGGGGGGATACTCCCACCTATTTAAAGTCGTTTGGCCAGCATAGGAGAAGTAATCCAAGAATACATCCTCTGGAGAGGCTCTTTTTGAACGCTCTCAATAGCGGAGGTGCGTGCCAGCGATTGTAGGAGTGAATGTATAACCATACGAGTTAATGTATCACTTCGATCAAAGAAAATTGGTTTATGATTATATTGGGTAAATTGTGTGTTTTGTAAGCATCTATATATACTCTGCATTCTGCCAAAATAGGTGCAATAATCTGGGAAAGATAGTGAATAAAGTATATTGTTTCCCTCCACATTTAGAATGAACATGCATTGCAGAGTATTTTTGGCTGCTGCTGTAAATTTACACGTGATGATGGTAAGCCACTTCGTTGGGCTATATTTTGTGATAGCCAGGTTGCTTCTGAAAAAGAGCTACATAGCTCACTGGTAACAATAAAAAATAGTTGCATAGCTTTTTGTATAGTTTACATAAGCTATTTGAATAAATATATTCAATCGGGATAATTTAATGCAACGTTCTCGAATAAGTGTCATGGACAGAGCTAAATGGAAGGCAAATCATGATCGCTGACGTCTTTGAGCAACAGATCGTTTGTACGCTGAACTTCTTTCGCACTGCACGTAGCCAACCGTGCTTCCGGGAGGCATACGAGAGATGGCATGGTGATGGAGAGATACTGTATTTCATCTACACAGATTTGTTTGTGTTCCCACAGGTCAACTCTTAGCGGTCGGAAACAAATCCCATTTCATCACCTTTACAAATGTGTCCTCGACACTGTGGAGAGGTCTCATCATCAACAGCGAAACGCCCACACAGATCGGTAATGATGCGTGTTTTAATTATGCCTGGTCAACCATATACAATGTATGCTGTAGATATTTGATGCGACATTTTAATGGAAATGAAAATCAATGCAATGTAACGGTCCCCCAATGTTATTAATATTGCTCTAACTGCATCACGTGAGGAGATGGAAAAGTCATTGCCCAAACTCATGGGGCAGTGCCACCATTTATAATCGTGAACTTCCTTCAATGGTATCCACAATAGAGTTTTTTTTTATTAGATCTAATAAATATAAATGTGTCGTTAAATCCGGCACCTTACTCGACACAGCCAATTAGTAAGGGGTTCATCTTCTTGGTTCTTTCGGTAAAGTCACGTAGAAGGGAAGTAATAAAATAATAAAAATAAAACATAATAAAATAATTCTCACGACGTTTCGGCCACAACGCAAGCAGCCGTCCTCAGGTGAAAACCAGGTCTGTCGATGCGACAGCGTCTGAATGCTCAGTCTGTCGCCTCGACAGACCTGGTTTTCACCTGAGGACGGCTGCTTGCGTTGTGGCCGAAACGTCGTGAGAATTATTTTATTATGTTTTATTTTTATTATTTTATTACTTTCCTTCTACGTGACTTTACCGAAAGAACCAATAAGATAAATCCCTGCAGTCACGAAAGCTTTAAATCGAAAAATAGTAAGGGGTTGTCACGTAAACAAAATGTGCCAATTCGTTACTGGTACAGCACACCGGTGTGTTGGAAAGTAAACCCACAACATTTACAATTCGAGTACCGTGAATATTCGCCGGTATCAGGCTGGTTGTAATTAAGAAACGTGAGTTTAGAGTATTTGGCTGCTATACATTTGCATGTGATAAGCCATTTCGTTGAGCTATCATTTGTGATGACCAGGTCGCTTCTGGAAAACAGCTACATAGCTCAGTGGGCCTTACCTGGTATATGTTTTTATTTATATATATAAATTTGTCTGTGCATTCGTTGCTCGCGTGTGGGTCTATCAAAATCAAGTGTACACCACTTTGGCTACGTTTCGTGTGGGTCTGGAAGACCCTTTGCTATCCAAGTTCTGCAATTATAAATAGAGTCAAAGTGTAATGAATAATATTAACTCAAATAGTTTACTAGCAAACTTACCGTATTCTCCGGATTATAAAATGCACTCTTTGTATTTTAAAGCAAAGTTTCGGGGTTTAATTTCATAATCTGGTAGGTGTGGGTGTGAGACCATATTTGTATAACTTTATTGAAACTAGACACACGTTTGGGGCACATTACTTTTTGGAGCAACGTATGCATATAAGGTAATTACTTGTCTTAAAATATAAATAAATATACATTTATGCTTTATTTCGCAGGAAAAGAACCATCTTTGTCAATGCTTCAATACGTTATTATAACAAACAGCAGATACGGTCTGAAAATCAACAACTCCACAATTCTCCTGGAGTCCGTCTCGTCCACAAACAATGAGAAATCGGGTCTGACGCTCATGCAGCCAATGTCAAATTTAAGGATAGTGAATGGCACATTCTCCTCCAATGGCGAACACGGAATTTTCACAGAAATGCCCAATGTTGGTTCGGACGCCGTCGTTACAGCAGTGGGCGTTACGGCAAGCGAAAATAGACAGGGCGGCATCATGATGCATTTGGACTTCTCATGTGAAACGTGCAACGTGTCCGATAACGCCGGAGATGGCCTGAACTCCAATAGACAAGTGAACATCATGTTGAATAATTCCATCTTCAAACACAATGCGCTCTATCAAATCTCGACGAACTCCATATCCAAACTCTTGCTCATTAATTCCATGATTGGCATTACAGACCTCATAAAAGCTTACAACACCTATTACTACGACTTCAGGTCTTACTATTATGAAATGGTGTACATCACAGGACCTTATGATGTAGATTCTTCCGTGACCATCAAGAATAACACGTTCACTCGGGTAGCCCAATCCAACCATGCCGCTTTACTAATCACAGGTATTTCTGATAACTGTTTGCAGCAAAACCGTTTCATTGACATCAACAGCCCTTCTCTGCACGTACAGACAAATTATAGGAGAAGCAGTGCCCAAATCAGTGAAAACACGTTCGAGCGCGTCGTGTCCAACTCGCACGTAATTATGTTTCTTCAGTCCGGCAATATATTATCGTTGAATTTTTCGGCCAACACGCTCGTGAATTGCTCTGGAGAGACTGCCATTGATTTGAATCCTCAAACGTCAATCGGATCGTATCGGATCCAATGGAACATTCTCGCAGGCGGCGTGTTCACCCGTACATTGCTTGTGCGCTACGTCCTTAATATGACAGTGTCAGAAAACATATTCCAAAATCCTGGCTCTGCGTACGAAGTTAGCGTAGGCCCACGGACACCCGGGCAGCTTGTCGAGCTGTCGAACAATTACTGGGGCTCTTCAGACCCCTACATGGTACAACAGCGGATTCTAGACTTCCATCAGGATTCCTCTCTTGAGGTGACTACCTACAGTCCCTTTTACATGGACTCAAGTCTCTCGGCACTGTCAAACGTCACGGGCGATTTTTGGACAGACCCTTCTCTGCCTTTTGGTGGCGTTCTTGATGCGGACTATACACTCGAACCATGTAATGGTGTTCAAGTCAACAGGAGCATCCTTGTCAGGTAAAATATATGCTACAACCTTGAGGTTTTTCATAAAAATATATTAAATAAACAAAAAACATAAATGTAGGGCCTAAATGGGTAATTTCATACGGGAGAAAATATCCTCTTCAGATGTTTGGACCATTTTGCATCGTGCCATAATTTAATGTCTTTTCATGTTCACAAAATTTACGTCACCTGATGTCACATGACACCAGCGTCGGCAGGGAGAAACACCCCAAATCGTAGTGACGCAATACACTTGATGCCATCCATTAATGATCCGCCGCCCCAGATCTTCTTCGATCTCCCCCCCTCCCCCGTACCACTCCCCTCACATCATTGCCTCTACTCGTCCAGCTATGCTGGCTTCCCGCCATTCCCTAGTTTACAAATCTCTCCGTGGTCTGGCCCTTAACGTGTCATCTTGCTTCCCTCATCGCCCTCTTTGCTCTGTGTCGCCCTTCTACGTTCACAATCCCGGCTGTTTCTTTGCCATCTCTTCCCTCTCCTCCTACCTGTGCCCAATCACCGTTCTGTTCTGTCCCGATTCTGCCCGCCTGTTACACTGGATTAAGCTTCCCCTAAGTGCCAAGTAATCGGCTTCACTGTCCATGTTTCAGCTTTTAAAAACACTAATTCATACTCTTACTCCTCCCTCCATAATTAACACCGTCATCCCCTTTCCAACTTCCCCACCCCATCCCTTATACTCGCTCATCACAAACCGCTTGCTTTCACTTTCATCGTCATTTACTTCACGCATCGTCGTCATTTCATCATCGCGCTGCAACCAGCCTTCTCATTAACTCGTGTCATCTCATCACACTTCTGATGTAAAAAAAATGCGAATTCCTTGGTCCAGAACCTTGGTTTCAATCTGAAACGATGACAACCAGTCGGATGATTCGAAATGTCACAGGCCAGATTTTGGAAATGTTTGGATTAATCAGGAACACTACCTTAATACATATGTAGAGGTGTACTTGTGTATGGGCACGGATGGCTAACAAACACAAGGGGCGTGGTTAGGGCCGTACACAGAGGAGGTGCTCACACCGACGTCCGCACCTGCATCCCCCACGGGCCCCTCCCGGGGGCCGAGTACTATAAAAGGTGGTGAGCCGGAGGGCTCGAGGTCGAGTATTAGCTTAAACCAGCAAAGACTGAAGACCAGCTAAAATAGGCCCCGGAGCTCCCCTGGCTCGCTGTCCTTGTCAGGGCCGACCAGGGCAAGCCGGTGGCGTGGCCCCGAGAGCCCAGACTGACGTTCTTATAAGAGCCGGTCTGGAGACTCAGGGTGCCGGGATCCCAGCTTGACCAGGGCTGGGATAGGTAGCCTCCCCTAGCTCCGTAGTGGAGGACTTGGGCGTAGGTTAGCGGGGTTAGATGTTGTGTCTCCCTGTAGCCGAGTGAAGGGGACGATACCCCCTTAAGTACTGTGTGTACCCGTTACTGTGCACAAGTTGGTGTTAATAAATAAGTGTGCCTCCGACCCCGCGTCAAAGCCTCCTGAATAATTACTACATCTGGCGTCAGAAGTAAACGTTCAACGATGGACACACGAGGGACGACACGTACCGGGGAGTCGGAGATGGAAGACACCACGGCCGAATCGCCACCAGAGATGGCCGAGGTCGGATCGGAGCAGCCGGGGCCGAGTACACCCGTGCTGCTATGACAGGAAGGGGGGATGCGTCGGCCGAGGGACTTCGGCTGGCTCACTCCCACCTGGCGGAGCTGCTCTACGCTGCGGCCGCCGCGTTGGAAGAGATCACGCGTCTGGGGGCTGGAGGGGCTGCGCGGGACGACGACAGCAGCCGACGCGCGGCGACATTTCCCGCCACCCCGACGCGGCTCGCGGTTAAATTTCCCGCCATCACTACAGTGCGAGCAGAGGGCGGGGCCGGCCCGCGTCAGTGAACTGCTGAGGGCCAAGCACAAGCCGTGACATCATCAACACCGGCCAGCGCGTCAACAACGGAGCGACCGGCGATGCCATGCTCGCAGCCCGCCCACACTGTAACGTCTGCTGGGAACGACGGAGCGCGATCCGCAGCCACGGACGTCGCATTACAGCAGCGTCTGCCGCCTCTCAAAGGATTCGTGGGCGCGGACGGAGACTGGGGCGGCTTCAAAAGGCGGTTCATCGCTCATCAGGAGATGGCGAACTGGACGGACGCCGAAGCACTACGCGCGCTGCCGGCGATGCTGGACAACGACGCCCTGGCTACTCTCACCTCGGCGCCTAAGGAAAAGCGCGCCACGCTGCACTTGGCGCTGCATGTGCTGTCAGCTGTCTATGGCCCGCCTTCGGACTGCAGGCAGCTATTCCACGATCGTCATCGGGGCGCCAATGAATCGCCCCTGGCCTTCCGGACGGCTCTCCTGGCCCTGGCGAAGGCAGCTTTCCCGCGGATGGACGATGAGGGAGTGGACGCTATGGTGGCTGAAAAGCTGCTGCTACTCGCTGATGAGCTGGACGTCGCCGTCTTGGCTCAAGACGATGCAGAGATGTCATCCTTGCTGGTCGCGCGCCACATCCACCGGGGCTTGCGGTCCCTGCGTCGCAAGGCCGCCAAGGGGGTGGCTGGCCATGCCATGGCGGCCACCACCCTCCCATCGGAGGAGGTCTGCGGGGTGGAGCGGCGGGGGGAATGGAGATCGGCGGCACAACAGGCTCGGAACGGACCGAGCCGCCAGGAGCAGCCCAGGCCATCTGGGGCGCTCACACGGTGCTACAACTGTGGCCTTCAAGGCCACGTTGCTTCAGGATGCCGGGCTCCCCGTCAGCGCGGGGCGACACCTCGTCAGGACGCCGCGCCGTCTCCACCCAAGCTCCAGCAGAGAAATACGGCGAGTCGTGGCACCTCACACGTTTGGCCCAGGCACACATCCGACACACACTCACGCGCGGAAACGAACAGGGCTCGCAAATCGACGGCCGTTGCGTCGGATTGTTCTGAAATGCGGCGAGCGCTCCAACCGGGTCAGTGGTCGGAGCTCGCCCATCGTGTCGTTGCAGCGTCGGCGGGATCGTCGGTCGTGGTCGGTCATATTGATGGGGTAGAGGTGCGGATTTTAATTGACACAGGGGCATCGGCGACCATTATATCTGATTTGATTTATAACATCCTTCCCGTTCAAAGTCGTGCCTTGCTCCCCGTTGACGTGCCATGCTATGCTGCTAATGGGAGCTCGCTGGGCATCATTGGGCAAATCCGCGCCAAAATTTGCATTGGAGACATTAAATTATCCGGGCCTGTTTTGGTTTCCTCCTCACTGGCAGTTCCGTGCCTGTTGGGGACAGATTTCTTGGCCAAAATGCCCATTCGTATCTTGATTGACCAGGGGTGCATCGAGCTCCTGTCGGGCCGACGTGTTACATTTTTGTCTTCCCCCGCCACGGAGCGTCGGGCGTTTGCGACCGTGCAGGCGCTCGTGACAAAAACTGTGCGCGTACCCCCGGGGGCTCAGATGCTCGTCCCTCTTAGGTTGCGTTGGCCGTTTGCTGAAGGGGTTGCGGATCAGGGGGTCTTGTTGGGACCATCTCGGGCCAGGGTCAATGGACCCGATTTGCTAGCGGCTCAGACCATGGTGAAAGGGGATGAGGACCCCTTCATTGCAGTCCTTAATGTAGGATCGCGAACGGCCGTGGTTCCTCAAGGGACCGTGCTTGCACACGCAACGCCGGTACCCTATGAGGAACCACTCGTGGGTCAGGTAAGCACCGATCCTCCGTCGCGACCGCATTCGGACTGTGATGACGGATGGCTGGATGCGCTTTGCGCGGGATCAGTGGACCTGTCCGACTCGCAGCGTGCGCAGCTGCGAGTTCTCCTGAACGAATTTGCCGACGTTTTTAGTCAACACAAATTTGATATTGGTTGTACTAAATTGCTGCGACACCATATTGACACGGGTGACAGCGCGCCAATCCGCCAAAATCCCTTTCGGTTGAGTCCCGCTGAAAAGGATCGTGTCAAATCAGCCGTTGATGACATGCTAGCCGCCGATATCATTTCCCCTTCCAACAGCCCGTGGGGCGCGCCGATCGTTTTGGTGAAAAAACACGACGGCTCACTGCGGTTTTGTGTCGACTTTCGGCAATTGTGCAAAATTTCTGTGGCAGATGCGTACCCGCTTCCTCGAATGGATGAGTCGCTCGATGCCTTGGCGGGGGCGCGATTCTTTTCCACCCTGGATTTACTTTCTGGATTCTGGCAGCTTCCTCTGGATGACGAATCCAAACCTAAGGCGGCTTTCCGTACACCGCAAGGCCTCTTCCAATTTACCCGCTTGCCGATGGGCTTACATTCTGCGCCAGCAACTTTTCAGCGGTTAATGGAACTGGTCTTGGCAGGCTTGCAATGGGATTCGTGTTTAATTTACTTGGACGATGTCATCGTCTTTAGCAAATCATTCGATGAACACCTCCAGAGGTTGCGTGCTGTTTTTCTCAAAATGCGGGCTGCCAATTTGAAATTTAAACTGCAGAAGTGCCATTTGCTCCGCGAATCAGTGCGGTATTTGGGTCACATTGTTGGGCGCTCGGGGATATCCACTGATCCCGCCAAAACGGAATGCGTCAGCTCCTGGCCAACTCCCACCTCGGTGGGAGAGGTCAGGAGTTTCATTGGGTTCGCGTCGTACTACCGACGGTTTGTGGCTGACTTCGCTACGATCGCGAAACCATTGCATGCCTTGACGTCCAAGGGAGTCAGGTTTCATTGGGGGCCGGAGGAGGAAGCTGCTTTTCGCGCCCTCCGGAATGCCCTGGTGGGGGCTCCGCCGTTGAATTACCCCGATTTCTCACAACCCTTCTTGCTCGATACAGACGCAAGTAACACGGGCATTGGGGGCGTGCTGTCCCAGCTCATTGGGGGCGTAGAGCATGTGGTGGCTTACGGTAGTCGAGTACTGTCTCCGGCGGAACAACGGTACTGCGTTACCTGTCGGGAATTATTGGCAATTGTTTATTTCATTCAGCAGTACCGCCCGTATCTGTACGGTCGACGTTTCACCATCCGTACAGATCATGCCGCTCTACAGTACGCCCTGCGGGTTCAACAACCATCGGGGCAGTTGTCTCGATGGTTGGAGATTCTCCAAGACTACGACTTTGTCACCACATATCGTAAGGGCGTCCGCCACACGAACGCTGACGCCCTGTCGCGGTTGCCACCCACTTCGGAATGCGCCTGCCTCTTGGGTTCGGGGCGTTGTAGGCCCCCGAACGTGACCACCGATTCGGTCTTCGTGGCCGCCGCCGATGCGCCTTCGGCTTCGGGTCCTATCGAGCAAGAAGGGAGGGATTCATTGCTGGGGTTGTCGGTTGCGGAGTGGGGACGCCTCCAAATGGAGGACACCTCCCTCCTCGCTCTGCGCCGTCGCACCGGGGGGGTTGGTCCGGGGGTGGCAAACGTTGACTCGTGGGGGTTGTTCCAGGGGCTTTTAATGCACTGGGACGGAAAATCCCGCCACCAACGGCTCGTGGTGCCTGCAGCATTGAGGGGTAAGGTGGTATGGGCTGCGCATGAGCGGCTCCTGCACTTGGGGGTTCACAAGACCTTTGCCATGCTCCAGCTCGATTTCTTCTGGCCGGGCATGGCAAAGAACGTGGGGGATCTCCTGGGGTTGTGCACGCAATGCGCGCAGCGGAAGCCACCGGCGAGGGGGTCCAACCCTCCGCTGCAGTCCATAAAGGTTTCCCGGGTTAACGAGCTCGTTGCTCTGGATATTCTCGGCCCATTTCCCGCTACACCCAGGGGAAATAGGTATTTATTGACAGGGGTCGAATACTTCACGAGATGGCCTATGGCCCGGCCCCTGGCCAACCAGTCGGCAGCAGCCATTGCGGAGGCCTTTGTCCAGGGCTATGTCCTCGACAAGGGTGCTCCGGAACGGCTGCTGACTGACCAGGGTAAGAATTTTTCGGGGAAACTCCTCCGCGAGGTGTGCGACCTCTTGGGTACGGAGAAAATTCGGACCTCCCCGTATCACCCACAGACTGACGGGATGGTGGAACGGCTGCATCGGACTATCACGTCCATGCTGTCCCAGCAGGTATCGGAATCCCAGACAGATTGGGACCTTCGCATTGCCGGTGTGTTACAAGCCTACAGGATGGCTCCCCACGCGGCCACCGGATTTTCCCCTTTCTTTTTAATGTATGGCCGCGAGGCTAACCCCCCTGTGACGACCCAGCTGAAGCTCTCGGCGCCTCAGGCGAAGTCTACCTTGTCCGAACACATTAAATTTAACATCGCCAAATTATCTGAGGCGCGGGAAGCGGCCGTGCAAAATTCTGAACTCCGCCAGAAGGCGAACGAGAGGCTTAGGCTGGGGCGGGTACATGTGTTCAAATGGAAACCAGGGGACCGGGCATGGTTGCACTGTCCCCAGGTGCCGCTGGCGACCTCGTCAAAGTTGGTACGGCCGTGGCGGGGGCCCGTGGAGGTCGTACAGGTCTTGCGGCCGCAATGTGTTCGCGTCAAATGGGGGAGGCGTCGGTGGTACGTGCACCCCTCAAGGTTGAAACCGTTCATTGCGCCGCCCCGTGGTTCGCACACACACACGCATGGCCAAACGTGTGAGGGGTCCGCCGACTCCCCGACGTCGCTGCTCTCGCCTAACCTGACATCAACTGTTCCATCTTCAGGTGCAACAGGAGTGACGGGTCCACGCCCGCCAACCCCTTCCGGGGGGGTCGGGGGTCACTCGGCTGCGAAGCCAGACTCTCTCGCACCCGGACCGTCAACAACCGCCACTGAGCGTGCCGGGACGGGCCCTTGTGACGGGCCCGCCGCAAGAACGCGCGCCAAAACGCGCAGACTATTGTGAGGTCGGCCGTTGGGGGGCCCTTGCGGACAGTGGGGGGAGGTGTCCGGAGTGTGTGTATATATGTTGGTTTTGGGGAATGGGGTATTTATTCGGGGGGGTGCGTCGGGTTATTTTTTTTCTCTTCCTGTTGTTGTTATTGTTCTCATTGTTCTTCTAATTACGGGAGGCACACACGGTTTTGGGGAGGGGTGCACCTTTATTCTGATTTTTTTTTTTGCAGCCGGGGACGGCTGCGAGCTGTACAGGGGGGGGTGATGTAGAGGCGTACTTGTGTATGGGCACGGATGGCTAACAAACACAAGGGGCGTGGTTAGGGCCGTACACAGAGGAGGTGCTCACACCGACGTCCGCACCTGCATCCCCCACGGGCCCCTCCCGGGGGCTGAGTACTATAAAAGGTGGTGAGCCGGAGGGCTCAAGGTCGAGTATTAGCTTAAACCAGCGAAGACTGAAGACCAGCTAAAATAGGCCCCGGAGCTCCCCTGGCTCGCTGTCCTTGTCAGGGCCGACCAGGGCAAGCCGGTGGCGTGGCCCCGAGAGCCCAGACTGACGTTCTTATAAGAGCCGGTCTGGAGACTCAGGGTGCCGAGATCCCAGCTTGACCAGGGCTGGGATAGGTAGCCTCCCCTAGCTCCGTAGTGGAGGACTTGGGCGTAGGTTAGCGGGGTTAGATGTTGTGTCTCCCTGTAGCCGAGTGAAGGGGACGATACCCCCTTAAGTACTGTGTGTACCCGTTACTGTGCACAAGTTGGTGTTAATAAATAAGTGTGCCTCCGACCCCGTCGTCAAAGCCTCCTGAATAATTACTACACATACACAGTAGAACCCCTACTAACGACGGTAATTGGTTCCAAGAAACCGGATTGTTAAGTGATGTTGGTCGTTAAACGACTATAGGAAATTTACGTTAAAGGATTCATGCATTCTGATAGCCTCAAAAGTTATTTTTTTCACCATAAACGTACTTTATCATATTTAAACAATGGATATTAATATATAAAGTTACTAACATTATAAACAGGGGTGGTGGTTGAGAGGGGTTCTAGTGTACATATATATGACTTTACTACATTTATTGCAAATGCCAAAATTACCCGAAACGTCCCATACATTATCAGATTACTAATGTTAAGCAGGTTTGTTCTTGGACAAAATTTAAAGAGAGGACTGCAATGCAGTTTGCCTTCAGGCTGTGGTGCAATACATTGGGGGATTACAGGGTAGTGCAGCAACATCCATTTCAGTAGTGTATTTTTATGCTCCCACATCTTTGCTGCCGTCCTTCAACACACGCACGCACACGAGGATTGTGATTTATGGGCACTATAGTGGCTAGGAGATGTTAACTACCTCGCCTGGTATACAGGAGGTCGTGGGTTTCATCTCGACCCTGACGCCTGCTATATACAGTATATGCAGTTTGCGTGTCTCCCCGTGGCCGCGTGGATTTTTCTCTGGGTCCTCCACAATTAGAATCAACATCACGCGTTTAGAGTGTTTCTCTGCTATATATTTTCACGTGATGATAAGCCACTTCATTGAGTTATAATTTGTGATAGCCGGGTCGCTTCCGAAAAGGGGCTACATAGCTCAGAAGGCCTTACACCTGTTAACACAATTGTTTCGTTTTTAGATTAAAATAACCCTCATGATTGGAATCGCACTCCGAATCCATATTTTTGAAAGCTCCATTTTTTAGAACTGCTTGTTGTCATGTTGAGTTTGTTGTCCTTCCTTTGCACCTCCGATTAGTGCACGGTTAGCTATGTACGGTGGTGCAAAAGAAGTTCAACATACACACACACATGTACATAATCAGGGCCCTTCTGACAGCAATGTATAAGTAAAAAGACATTGTGGGGCTGCACATTTACCCTTACCATAAATCATTTATGAACATTTTAATTTTGTTTAGATCTGGCAACACGCTCACAATTTCCCCTGGCTGTGAGCTGCAATTTCCTGAAAACCGTGGCCTGGTGATTGAAGGTAACGCCGCAACACATGCATAAAATACGATTGTTGATATAAGGTTGGTTATAATTGATGTAATTTGAAAATTGGAAGAGTAGGCCCACATACACCAAATACTTTTTAACATGAGTCGTAATATATTTGTAAATTATTTAAGAGTTTCTATCTTCCTCAATGCTTAAGAATAGCGCTCTATTTGCATGCAAATTGTTTAACTGTTCATCAGGATTTTAAAAATGTAATTTTCAACAGGGCAACATGGTGTAAAGTGCAGTCTCCAATTCTTATTTCCAATAGCAGGAAGTACCCGGCTTTGGCCGGGGGGGAAATATATTTTAAAACTTGTCTTTTCTTAAAAAGCATGACATATACTCTACATACACAAATACTAACCTATTGTGAAAGCCCGGCATTCCGTTTGTCTGTCCATTTGTCCGTCAACAAAATTCTAAGAGGCTTGCAGAAGTCCTGAATCGAAAAGTTATAGAAAGTGGGGGGTAAGTAGATGATCTAAAAGGTTTCCAAAAATTGTCGACCCCTCCCCCCAAACATTTTTTACCCCCCCCCCCCCAGCCAATTTTTATTTTGTAGGCATATATACCTACACACACTACATAAAATAGAGCCAGTAGTATCTAGTCACTCTACAGTAGTATCTACCAACTCTACAGTAGTAACTATGGACTCTATAGCAGTATCTACTAACTCTATAGTCGTATCTACTAACTTTATAGTAGTAATCTTGATTTGAAGCTTTCGTGACTGCAGGAATCCATACTCTTTGGTTCTTTCGGTAAAGTCACATGGGTAGAAATAAAATAAAATTTCTACCTACGTGACTTTACCAAAATAACCAAAGAGTATCTATAGTAGTATCTACGGACCACTACAGTAGTATCTACCGACTCGATAATAGTATCTACTGACTCTACAGTAGTATCTACTGACTACAGTAGTATCTCCTGACTCTATTGCAGTATCTTCTAACTCTATCATAGTAACTGCACACATTGGGGGGGGGGGGGGGGGGGGGAATCACACTGTTAAAAATTTACCTCAGTGTTGCGCTTCTGTGTTTTTTTTGCCTTTTTAACTCGATGGAGAACCTCGCTCCCATCGCTGCTGAGGGAGCTCGTGTGCGTTGCTTGGGGCAACCGCGAGTCAGCGTTTCCGCGCATGCGCATATGCTTGCTTTGACGCCACGATCAGCGTAATAATAAATTGTTATAAAGTGTGATTTTATTAATTCTAGATTTGAAGCTTTCATGACTGCAAGGATTTATACTCTTAGTTCTTTCGATTTTTATTTTATTAATTTTAATTTCATTTTTTACCTACGTGACTTTACCGAAAGAACTAAGAGTATGTGATTTTATTAGTTTATATTTGAGCGAGGGGAAAAACAAATAGCGCGTTTTCATCCAGGGGCTTAGTGTGTTGTATCTGTGTACTTTGCTGAAACGTAAACCCAACAGTGTGTTAGTTAAAAGTGTTGCAAAACATGCGCAGACAGAGACAGACAGACACAAAATTACTTTTACAGGTAGGAACAACAGGTTCCACACTGCCCACCAGGGATTATTTGTCTGTCTGTCGTGCACAAATGCGCTGTCCAACCAAGTTCCTACCTGCCCAATCCGAAGGAACGTGTTATAGGTAGAACTAGCAGGAAGTACCCGGATTTGCCCGGGGGAAAAATATATTTTAAAACGTATCTTCTCTTAAAAACATAACATATACATACAAAAATACGAAGCTATTGTGAAAGCCCGGCGTTCCGTTTGTCTGTCCATTTGTCCTTCAACAAAATGGCCTAGTCTCGCCACCAGTGTCAGACCAGATTACGCCAAAAGGCAAACAGTACAAAGACAATGCACGTATCAGAACACATATAGCTCGGGGTGAGCAGCTATATAATGGGACCTTTTTTGCCCTATCAAATAATGAGAAATAAGAATAGGTTTTACCCTTTCTGAGACAAGGCCATAAAGACGGCTATCTTTGGTGTAGGCCAATCAGTTTCAAAGACAATGTCTATAGTATAAAAACATGTTTGTTTGCATATTCACCAAAAGTACGTGTGGTTAATGCAGACTTGATTCCTTGCAAAAGGTTTCTATTTGGCGTATGAACATCTTAACACCTGTTTTATTGCTATATATGGTAAAACCGATTAGAATTTTTTACGTGTTGAGTTTGTTTTGCATTCGTTCTTGTTCACTGCTGCTGATTTGGCATCATCAAATAATTATCGGTGACAATTGTCGCGATTAAGTTTGGTTACAAATGTACACTTACAGGCTTATTACACATCAGAGGTTCCTCGGAGGAACCCGTTGTTCTCTCATCATTAACCGGACGATGGAATGGACTGGCCTTGATGAAAATACCAGAAGATTCTTGCCAAGCCTCCTTTGATGGTATGATGGACAGTTATAAGATAATACAGGGTGTTTTAAAAGATGGACCCGATTTGAATCGCTATATCTTTGAAATTGGGTCCAACTTTTTGAAACACCCTGTATATCCATATACACAATTTCTGAGACTACTGCACCTATTTGAAAATATGAAGGTGGTACGATACTAAAGCACAGTGGCAAGATATTATATGTTGCTGTACGGTGGTGAGATGTTATCTCCCTTGCCTGGTTTGCAGGCCGTTGGTTCGACCCTGACACTGACCCTGACGTCTGTTGTATATTGGAAGTTCACGTGTTCTCTCTCTCCCCGTGGTCACGATGAATTATGTCCGGGTTCATCTGGTTTTGCCCTCCTCAACTATTTAGGATCAACGTCATGCGCTTAGATGATTTGGCTGTTGCTGTAAATTGCGACGTGACGATGGTGATGATAATCTACTGCGATGAGCTATCAACACGTGTGGCCTGGTGGCCTCTGAAAGAGAACTACATAGCTCAGTGGGTTTACCTGGTACAATAAAAAAAAATGTATATAGTGGATCATCGAGTATCCAGCACGCGATGATCCAGCTTCCAACATTATCCGGCGGTCCCTGGCCGATCCTGCGAAACCGGCAAAACCGCTCCAAAGGCTTTAACCAGTCTGGCGATCGTTACCGTGTGCGTGATAAAACAAGTGGCTATACTGGATTTCAGTGTTAAATATGATATACAGTGCATTACACACTGCATACAATATCTTGAAGAATGAAAATACTGCACGTATATACATTTTTCATGACTAACAACAACAGTAATAAAAACAGAAAATATATCCGGAGAAAAGTGCGTGTAGCTCAGCGTTCACTGGAGCACCGGTCAAAAAGCTGCATCAGTCCGGCGATCGTCGCACACAAGTTGTTGAAAACGAGGATATTTATTTGCGAGGTCAGCGCCGCTTTCTTCTGAGCGACCCGTGGCCACAACTGTCTCAAGCAGAGTTCCCCGAAAACTATAGCAAAAAAAAACGCATTGCGCTAAATTTGTTCCCTGTTTAATTTGGCTCAATCGCAGCTACTGTATTTGCATTACGGTTCATTCGCTTGGGCATGCCCCCAATATTGTTGGTTCAGAATTAGAATATTTATTTAGACTGCAGGAGGAATCCGATGAGCTATGAAGCTCTTTTTCGCAGATGTCGAGTAAAGCGTCACGTTACAACAACAAACACAATGCTCACAAACCCGATAGGAGTTCAAAGAAGAGAAACGGTGGTAAGCAGAGTGACAAAATAAGTAAATGCTAATAAAGTGTTTAAAGATATATTTCCTCGGAAGCTAAGCAGAATTGAGCCTGGATAGTGAGATTACATTGGTGACCATCACACAACATAGTGGGTGTGTCGGTTGTGGGTGCGATGTATACATTGGCGGGCAGCAGAGTGCAGTGCAGAAAAAAATGTACGTGCCGAGCTGTGCTCCGACGTCTGTGCTCCCCATCCCTTCTAGAACCCCCTCCCCTCACCAACCGGCACAGCGAAGCCATGGGCAAATAAACCCCCCAATGACGTGCGCAGTATGCGGTTTGATTCCTCATTCAGCGAAGGGTTGTCACAAAGGTTGGGCTGCACAAAATGCGCACAAAGTGCATGGACGTTCGCTGGCTTGTGATCTACGCGGCCCCGAATCGTGTTGCGCAATGTCCCTTCACCAGGTCAAGTTTCTGTGATCCAGCACCTGCGGGTCCTCAACGCCACCAACGGCATCGCCATCTTCCGCTCTCAAGTGGACCTTCGTTTTGTTCACGTGGGTGAGTGCAAAAGTATCAGAATAGTATTTATTTAATTTTATATATTCTAATATTTATTGTTCGTAGGTCTCTCATAACCAATGCGATTAATAATAATTATCTTATATCGGGTTAGCTTGTGTAAAAAAAATTGTGTCTCGCTGAACCCTCCTCCATCCGACACGGCCAATTCTTAAGCAATGGGGGGCCGTTCATCTGCAAAAATCGGTTCGAGTGGTAGAGCATCGGGCCCGCTTGTTGCAGAGGTTCACGGTTCAATCTCAGCGGCCGCCCAGGTTAACAATACGATTGTACAAACCAAAAATACCATGCGCCATTAGGCTCATGGCGGGGGGAGGGGCGTTAAGGCTCCCGTGACATTATTTTAACCTTATGGCGGGACCCCGGGGTCCCATAAGCCCCCGGCTCTCGCATAAACTACGTTGCGATGTTATTTTATGTCTGTTGAAGGAGAACGATACGGCAATTTATTCCTCTCGACGAGCTCTACGCGATGCGATAACCAAAGTTCCAAAGTTTTGTTCATGACTACAGAAATTTTGGCAACGACTGGTACACGGTGAAGAACGAGAAAATTGATTTCTGGTGGGTTGCGGCGTTTATGTGCGCGGTGGGACGGAGTCACCAAAAAATAATTAATTACGAGAGCTCGGGGTCCCACCATCAGGTTAGTTTGATGTTAAGAGGAGAGAAGGCAATGCGGGTCGTCACAGAGTGTGCTTATATAAATGTAAAGTGACACCCGATACAGCAGTCTTCAATAATAGGAGTCGTTTTTCTTCCAGCACGAGACACAACGGTCTTCAAAGATTCCATTCACTCCAAGCGTCCCAAACTCTCTCGGCTCCCCCCTTAATATGTCCCTCAAGCCCCTTTCCCGAAGGTTCCTTGACCTTTCGCTTTTCCTCCAGCCAATCACCTTCCCACCTTTCGAACGGATTCTTATCGTCTCTCCCTGTAAATCATCCCTCCGTTTTCCTGATCTTTCCGTGTTGTATTTCTACCTCCAATCCATTCAATTTCCCCTGCCTCTAACCAATCCCCTTTCAGGCCCAGTTCAGTACCAATCAGAGGGGCTTGTTTTTTACTTCCTGAATATCCATGTCTTGATGCATGCTGTGTCCATAACATCGGGTGAGTACTTTCGGTTTTGGATTAATCACTACACAAATGTATGCAGTGGAAATGTTATATACTAATGTTGCATTCATGTATGTGTGTTTTATATAGACAATTCCCTTTTGGCTGGACTGTATCTGACCGTTTCATGTCCAATGACGCACACGGTAAGACTGGAACACGTGGTGGTTTCCCGTGCAGCAAAAGGTATGACCTTCACTGGCCCCGAGCTCCGAATTTTCATCACGGAGAGCTCCATGTCTCAAACAGAAAGCTACGGGTTGGAGATCCATTCCTGGGGACAGAGTTCTGAGATAGACATCACCGCATCAACGTTTTCAGGTAATATATTTGACTTTATGAAGCCTGTCCATACCTGGGCAAAATAAAATAGAAGTATACGGTACATTATATATGTTACTGTATTATATGTTACTGTATATGAACCTTATTGCGGGACCCCAGGGTCCCGACTAAACGGAAGTCAAAATCGTAATTTATTATTTTTGGCGACTACATCCCGCCACGCACATAAACGCCGTGACCCACCAAAAATAAATCCTCTCGTTCTTCACCAAGCACCCGTCGTTGCTAAAATTGGCGAAGTTATAAACAAAACTTTGAAACTTTGATTAGCGCATCACGTAGAGCTCGTCGAGAGAAATAGATTTTCATATCGTTCACCTTCAACAGACATAAAATGACGTCGCAACGCAGTTTATGCGAGAGCCGGGGGCTTATTGGACCCCGGGGTCCCGCCATTAGGTTAATATACTAAGATACAGATCCTCCGTATAGCCTTTAACAGACTGTTGGGGCGATTGCTGTGATCGAGCAGCACCTGTGAAGTGTTGTATACTAACCCTTCTTCCATAATTGAGATTAATAATATTTGATGATTTTTATATATTATCTTTTTACTTGTTTTTTTAATGAGTGAAACACACCAAGCGCAGCAAACTGCAAAACACCAGGTGTTGTTAAGTAATGAACCGGAGGAGGGCTAGGATGGCAGAATTTACAACGTTGCTTCAAGGGAAGATAAGGCCTGATGAACGGGCACATGTCACCCGTGCAGGCGGCAGAGACAGTGGGAGTGTCAGCCAGACATAGTTAAGGCAAAAGCCCAATCATCCTGCATGGTTTTAAAGTAACGTCAAAATTCGAAATTCAACAACAGAGTAGGCTAAATTATCGATCCTCGCGCTCGCTCAAACTGGAGACCAGGCTGCGAGCTACATCAATGAACCATTGCCCATTTGCTAATCCAATACTGAATGTTAATATTACTGAAGTCAAAACGAATTCTATGACCTCAGCACATGGGCAAATAATAGGGCAGTGTCGACTCAAAGGCAATGGAAGAAAACAGAGGCGCCTTTGTCTAAATCACAACCACAGAAAGCCAGGAATCATCACTGATTGTGTGTTCAGGAATTCCGAGCTAGTTAGAACACGTGCACAGGGGGGGAGCTGATGTAAACAACCCTGCGCGTCTGGATGTGAGGGGGCCTTTGACCTGAAAGTAAGAATAACACTCCCAGAGCAGAAGGTTGGATGACCACAGTGAGACGAGAATAAGAGTGGTGTATATCTCTCAAGGAGGCAGACCCAGCTGAACAACAAGGCTGCGGGGTCACCAGAAGTTCGCATTCGCCTAGTTAAGACAAAAAGCTCAATTATTCTGTATTGCTATTAAAGTAACGTTAAAGTCGGAATTTAACAACAGGGTAGGCTAAAGTTATCGATATTCACACCCACTCCAATTAAACCAGGCCACAAGTTACGCCTACTGAACCATCACCATTATTAAGTCAATATGAAATGTTATTTCCATACTTCAATACTTTCTATACAATTCGACCCGAAGCATATGACAATCAGAACCTTCCTAAGTCAAAATTGAATCGCACCCAGACAGGAGCGAATAGTCAATATAAGGTTGAAGAGGGAAGGAAATCAAGAGCACGGCGAACTGCAAACGTAAGCAAAAAGCCGGGAACAACACCAGCCCAGCAACAGCGAGTGGGGCTTCGACAGGCCATAAAGTAGAATAATAACTCCCGGGGTCAGGGGACACAAGAAGAAGCAGGCAGACAAAAACCAGAACTGACTCCAAGGTTCAACCGCCCTCACCTACTCAGGGGTGACGGAAATTAATGAGGCCTTGAATTAACGGCAGGCAACAACAACGGCGAGCAGAGATAGGGTGGGGCAAAGACTGCGGGCTATGGAATGCAACTTCGTGTCAGTAAAGCCCTGACAAACAAGTTAAGTTAAAGACATCACAATACATAATATCGCACATAACATCAATGTTAACGCTATTCACCGTAAACTATATTCCGCTTATATAACCATCCAGGCACCAAGGAATACGAATTCCTAGGATCAAGAAACTTACCCCTTAACCTAAGATATCGGGAATAAATTAATAGTAATAAGTATATGCATGAAAAGACAAAAGTAAAACTTATGGAAAAGCCAGGATAACGGGATGAATCACCACCAGGTCGAATATAAATACATAATAAAAAAAAAAAACAATGTTAAACCCAGGGTCGGAGAGAAAGGGAGATCCCGGCCGTCTTTGTATCCCCGCAGCGCGGGATAGGAGTGTGTGTACGCTCGGGGAAACACCTACACTTGGGTCGGGAACCACGATGGGAAACGACAGACCTTAGGTTACATACAGAATCATAACTGTGAAATAGTAAGGGACAAATGTTAACTTAAAACTTTTAACCATTTCTTTGTGCGCCGGGTCGGAGAGAGTGTTGCCCCTCCCTCCAGGTTGTGCAACACGAACAAAGACGCCTATGAGACGATTTGTAACGTCTGTGTTTTGGGTTCATGAAGAAGGCCAGACAAGAGATAAATTGCACCCAGACAGAGAGACGACTTCGAGACAATTTGTAACATCTGGTTGTTTGCTCGTGGGTTTTATGGAGGGAGTTGACAACGGAATATACCGTCAGTGATGCACACAAGGACATACGGACACACACATGGACACACCTGCCTACGGACAGATCCTGACACAGCAAAAATCGGAAGCCCCGCCTTGTGGGCGGGATCCAGGGGGATTTTTCAGCATAAAGGAACGGATCCTGAACATTGGAAACCAGTGCGACGGGAGGGTCCACTCAGAAGCTCGACCGGGAGGGTCGACTCAGGAACGAGTGCGACGGGAGGGTCCACTCAGAAGCTCGACCGGGAGGGTCGACTCAGGAACGAGTGCGACCAGAGTGGGTCCACTCAGGAGTGCGACCAGAGAGTCGACTCAGGAGCGAGGGCGACCAGCGGGTCGACCCAGGAGCGAGCTCGACCGGGAGGGTCGACTCAGGAGCGAGCTGCGACCAGCGGGTCGGCTCGACTCATCTTCAGCTCGTCAATCTCTGCTGCCGCCGGAGATCTCCGCTGCCGCCGGTGGTGAGCGTCGCGACTTGGCGACGATCCAGCGCTGCACGCTACGAGCGAGTTGTGGGCGCCACCTACCGACCGGGTTCCGAACTGCGACAGCGTATCAACAGCCATCCGAGCCAATTCACCACGGTGACAGGGGAGCGCCTGATACGTATGACGCGCACCGCCCCCTCACCACACGACCACCAGGCGTCTGTTTGACATAAAGAATCGACTCCGAACACTGACTATTCAAGACAACTCTTACCACTCAAACACACTCGAACCCATAAGTCATCCGTGGCTGGGAAGGCATCACAACGAGACCGAGTGGTGGCCATCCGTCGTTTATAAGAGTATTCTTAATTTTTATCTTTAATATTTAGTGGGCTGTACTCTTAATCGCATAAATTCCCAACAGATCCATCAATACGAACTGATTCTTGGCACCTCCTTCCGCCGAGCCACGCTCACGTGGGGAGTGGTGGCCCACCGGATCCTTATCAGGTGATCTGGTCCCCAATTAGTAAACTTGGTATAAGATAACGATCTTCGGAAAAGGAGCACCGTCGCAGGCCCTTACTCCGAGCCGTTCTGAGATAACCTGCCGATGTATCTGTTGAGATTGGTGCCTTTAAGAATAATAACTGTTTTTGATTGTGTTTTTTTTTTATCGCCGTATTATCTTTCAAGTATCTTTCAGTCATAATCGCCGCACGTACTCGCATCCTCTACAGAATATTCAACTGTTCCGTGACCCAAGGTGCTAACAACGTGATAAGGGTTGCGTATGATCAATAAGGAGTGCGGTACTGCGTGAACAATATTGAGTATAATCATTCATTAACGTTAAGGTTTTCTTAGCATAGTATTTGCATGTTTTAACGACTCTCTCTCTCACTAACAACCATCGCGTTATGTGGGATCCATGTGCCGTTGTCAAAGTGAAATCAGACAATCGTTGATGATACTGTATTGATGCCGTATTGACGTTCCGGGATTGAGAGTTCGCATACTATATCATAGTTAAGGTTGAATTAGTAATAAATTGATCAATACAGAAGTGGTTGTGTGATTCTTTCCTGAAATCTATGCATAAGATCTGCTTCTGCGTTGAGATTTGAACTTGGTGACCTTAATAAACACACTAATACATACTCAGTAAATGTTAAAGCGATAACGGGGTAACCGGGGTCTGGTTATTATAACGACTTGCGTTATCATAATTACACCCACTCGCATAATTAATACGATTACCTCTCGAATTGGCATAATTAAAATGTGCGTAATTACATAAATTAACATATTTCCGGATAATTACACATTTGGCCAAATTTCATTTAATTATTATTATTTCCACTGAATATTCATAACCCACATATACAACATAATAATTTCACCCACGCACGCATACAACATAACAAATTTTCATACCCAACATATACAACATAATGGGGGCTCGTCTTCCGGGATCTCTCGCAGACAGTTTATGCATGAATTCAGGAACGAATCACTGATGTGTTAATCAAAGTGTTGTGAACTAACGTTGCCTTGTGATTGTAAACGGGGGTATACAAACAAAACGCGCTCTGAAGGGAAATACCAGAGTAGCAGAGTATAACAAAGACAGCTGGGCTGAGATTATTTGCTCGAGTTGAACTGACGCATCCTGTGATACAATTGTTTATATGTGCTCTGAAGGGGAATTCTAGAGTAACTCACGACGCACATGAGATGTTAGAATTAAGATACACTCTTAAGTCTATTAACCACACTACATAATAGAGAGGGCACAGGATCCACAACATTCTGAGTTTGACACACCAACGCATAACACTGATACAGAGTGGACCTCTGAGGAGGAGATGGAATCTATGGAAAAACAATATCGGGAATTTGTATTAAAACGTACTGGACGGACTGCTAGCCAGCAGACG